CCTAGATTCTGCAGGGTACACTCCAGTGACTTTCCTCCCAGCAACATGGCATCCCTGGCAGTGGATGTGGGAAAGGATTGGTGGGTGGTGGGATGCACATGGTACTTTGTTTCTCCATCTCTACTGGACTTGAGAGTCTGTGCTATTTACAGATCTTTTCACTTCCTTGTGAAGTTTTTCCCACAGTCTCTTCATTTCTATTATTTCACATATTAGAACCCTTTTCCTGGCAAGATGGCATTCCCCGACCAAGGAACCAGGATAGGAGTGGCGGGCAGCTATAGTTGGCAGCATCAAAGATGGTAGTGTGCTTTGGTTCTCTCACCTTCTCTCTCTCTCTCTCTGCCGCCTCCCTCCTAGTTCAGAGAGTCTGTGCAGTTTGCTGCTCCCATCACTTCTTTAGTGACGTGTTCTTCAGTCAGTTTCTCAGTTTTAATCCTTTATACATAGAACCTATTTCCCAGCAAGATGTCTCCCTGCTAGGTCTCTGAGGTAGGAACAGTGGCAGCAGTGCTATGCTTTGTTTTTCTTTCTCTCTCTCTGCTGGTTTTTGGAGTCCTCTTTGTAGTTCCTTTCTCTTTACTGAAGCTTCCCCTCAGACATCTTCCAGAAATGTGGTTCTTATCTCATTGTTTTGAAACTTTTTTCTGACTGAGTTGAATGCAGATCTTCTCTATTCAGCCATCTTGATCCTGGCCATTTTTTGGTAAAATTTACTGGTAAATCCTGTGGATATTTTCTTTGTGCAAAAGTCTATTAAGAAGAAACCTGAGTAGTTTAGTACTTCTCAGTTATGTCTCTGTTACTATTGTTAGGTTTGATTCTCTAGAAGTTTATTCATAATATCTTTTAAGTTCTTGGCAGTAGGTGCCAGATATACAAAGATGTCTCTTCTTGTTTCATAATATTATGTGTTCTTTCTTTTTGTCTTGATCTCTTTCTTCATGATTGATCAATTTTATTGGTCCTTTCAAAGAGCAGTTGTTTAGATCTTTTGGCTCTCTGAATTATGTGCTGTTCCCCATTTACTAAATTCTTATTTAATATTTTATTCTTTATACTTCTGAACTTTTATTTTGCTTTTTTTCTAACTAAAAGCCAGTGACTTTAGTTGATGCATATAAAATGCATTCTTGTGCATTTTTTATGAAATATGCACTCTATACCATGAATTTTCCTTAATGTACTCTTGACTATATCCATAAATTTTGAAATTAATGCTGTTTGACACATTTTTTTTTATTTTCTTTGTCATTTCTTTTTAGATGCTTGGTCTGTTTATTTTCTTTCATTATTTTTAATTTCATATCTTTTATAAAAATCAAATCTTGTAAATTTTTCTTTTTTTGTGTTAAAATTTCCCACTATAGTTATGGATTTAGCTTGTCTTTGTAGTTCTCTTAATTCTTGCTTTACATATTTTGATGCCATCTTGTAGGGAACATAAATTTAGCATTGCTATAACTTTCTGTAATACTTTTGGTGTCAGCATTTTAAGTGCTACATATTTATAAAGGTTGAGCATTCACAATATGAAATCATAAGTACTCCAAAATCCAAAACATTTTTAACACTAATATAATGGCCCAGGTAGAAAATTCCATACTAATGTAATGTGACAGACCAAACTACAGGCATGCTGAAAATATTGTATAAAATTACTGTTGGTCTGTTGTATAAAGTATATGTGAAAAGGAAATGGATTTTGTGTTGATTTGGTTCCCAGCTCAAAGGCTTACTGTCTTATTATATATATCGCAATATTTCCAAAATGCAAAAAAAAAAAAAAGAAGCAAACACTCTGGTCCCAAGCATTTCAGATAAGGGATATTCTTAAATAAATAAAAAAAGCTCTCCTGCCTGCTTTTTATTTTTTCTCTCCTTCACTACTTTGTTCTTTTTTCTGTTAGTTGAAAAAAATTATATTTGTGGGGTGGCATTGCAGAGGCCAGCCTAACCCTTTGCATCACAAGGACTGCCCCATGTTGGTTTGGTTTTGCACTGGTCCAATTTGAGTCTGACCAGGGACTTCCTGGCTTGGGGACTGATCTGCTCAGCAACACATTTTACAAACTTTTTCATTGGTGAGGCCACAGGGTTAGGCTGATCGTTTTTCTATTACTTTTTGAAGCCCCCTTTCTCACTTTATGTCCAGATTCTTAGCACCCTAGTAGCTTAAGAATGACTTCCTCAGGGCCAGTGTTGTGGTGCGAAGAGTTAGGCCATCGCCTGCAATGCCGGCACCCCATGTGAGCATCGCTTTGAGTCCCAGCTGCTCCACTTCCAATCCAGCTTCCTGCTATGTGCCTAGGAGTGCAGTGGAGGGTGTCCCAGTGCTTGGGCCTCTGTGCCTACAGGGGGGTCCCGGAGGAAGCTCCTGACTCCAGGTGCCATTTGGGGGGTGAACCAGTGGATGGAAGATCTCTTAGTCTCTCTCTTTTTCTAACTATGCCTTTTGAGTGAATAAAAATAAATCTTGGGCCGGCGCCGCGGCTCACTAGGCTAATCCTCCGCCTAGCGGCGCCGGCACACTGGGTTCTAGTCCCGGTCGGGGCGCCGGATTCTGTCCCGGTTGCCCCTCTTCCAGGCCAGCCCTCTGCTGTGGCCAGGGAGTGCAGTGGAGGATGGCCCAGGTGCTTGGGCCCTGCACCCCATGGGAGACCAGGAAAAGCACCTGGCTCCTGGCTCCTGCCATCGGATCAGCGCGGTGCGCCGGCCGCAGCGCGCCGGCCGCGGCGGCCATTGGAGGGTGAACCAACGGCAAAGGAAGACCTTTCTCTCTGTCTCTCTCTCTCACTGTCCACTCTGCCTGTCAAAAAAATAAAAAAAATAAAAAAAATAAAAAAAATAAATCTTAAAATTTATATTTGATTCTGCTGTTCACTGAACATGAATCAGTGACTCTGAGACTCAAATGTTTACATTGTGCTTTTAGTCCTCTTAACAGACTATGCAGGGATCCTAGAGAAAGGCTTTTCAAACTTTAAATTCATCAGAATGTTTGGGATCTTGTTAATATGAAGACTCTGATTTTCAAATCTGGGCTCTGAGATTCTGTGTTTTTAACAAGCTTCCAGTACATTTGAATGCTGCTAGTACTTGGACCATAAGTTAACCACATAGCCTAAAATTATTTTAACATTTGCACAGCTTTTAACTTTAGTTGTGTATATTTTAAATTATACAACATATTATTTGGATTCTTTTATTTTAATCTTGTTATTGTTAGTATAACTGGATTTGTGGTTTGATATCTTTCCTTAATATTGCAAAGGTTCTAGTTTGGATTTTTGTTTGTTTTTAGTATTCTATTTGTTACCTTCTGGGTTTCCAAATGTATGTTTGTTAGAGCTTATCACTTTGTCTCTTATCCTGTCTTGAATTGTTTCTTATCCTTTTGTGACTATGCTTTATTCTGGATCTTTTAGTCTATTGAAATCTGTTTGGGTGACTTTAAAGCTTATTGGATACAGCCAATCTATTTTTCAGTTCTTTAATTTCTATTTGTTTTGTAAAGTCCATTGTCTTTTTTTAATGATTTGCAGATCTTTGATGATATTCAGTATTTTCTTTTACCTTTTTATATACATAGGAAGTCTCCTATTTTTAAATTTTTGTTTTCTAATTCCAGTACCAAAATCATAATTCTGTTTATGTTGTCCTGTTGTTTGGCATTCCCAGTGTCTTCTTGTACCTGAATATCATTAATTGTGGATGGGTATTTAATTTGTTTGTAGAAACACATTGAGTTCAAGATGATTATTACCATCTTGTAGTAAATATTTTTGTTAGTTCTTGTCATGCCTGTGGGCACAGTCCAATTTTAGAAACAGATCTGTCTGTACTGACTAGTTGAGTTGAACTTGGTATGAGTTATACCGATTGAGTTGAACCTGATTGGTTGACTTGTTTCTGACTAGCCCTCACTATTTTGAACCCTAAAGGCAAAGGTTACCAGAGGCTCGCTTTTGGATCACTGAGTTTTGCTTCTGTAATTCTGATATTGTTTTCTTTCTAATGCCTTAAAGCAGAAGCATAGACTCTTTGACCAGATTTTTACTCACCCTGAACAGTTAGATTGGTTCAAACTATCTTGTTCACTATAAACAGAAGTGGAATTCCACTTTATATTTTTAATTTGTCTAGAAGCTTTCTCTGTGTGGTTAAATAACTTGGTAAGCTAAGTGTCAAAACTGGAATTCGGACCTGTATTGTCATTGAATTGTTTTGTATTTTGGTTGAATTGGAAAAAACTCATTAGGAAGAAAGCGTAATAACATAGTGCCTAGAAATATGGTCTCTGTAGATGGACTATCTGCATTTTTTAAGATTTGTTTTATTTTATTTGAAAGAATTATAGAAAGAGACAGACACAAATAGCTGCAATAACCAGGGCTGGGCCAGGTCAAGGCCAAGATCCCAAGATTCCATCCAGATCTTCCACTTGGATGGCAGGGTCCCACTGCTCCTGAACCATCATCCACTGCCTTTCCAGTTGTTAGGAGGGAGCTGGATTGGAAACAGAGCAGCCAAGACTCAAACTGTCACCTCAATACGGGGTGCTGGCATTATAAGCTGGTGTCTCACCCTTGCGTCACCACCACACCAGGCCCTGCTCCTTCACTCATTAGCTTGATCTTGAGCAAATTTTTAACATCAGTTAAGTACCTCATCTGGAAAGTGTTGATGAAAATCAATGGATATTTATAGTTATTTCATGTAAATGTATCTTAAGTGTTTAGAACCATATTGACACGTATTGAACAACTCAGCAAATGTTATTACATCTCACTGAGTACTTTGGCTGAATTTTCTCTTTGGGTAATCTAATAGCTGAGAGCTAAGTATTTTATAACATGATGTGAGGCTTTTACTTCATCCTTTATGTTTTTGGGGTGATCTTTATGGTGTTTATTTTCTAGGTACCAGAAAATTTTATAAATTGTTTTCTTAGATAATTAGGCATCACTAAATATAAAATATACTTTACTCATTTGTAGCTTACTCCATCTGGAAGCCTTTCCCTTATCAAATCAATGCATTTGATTAAGAATCCTGTGAAGACCTGTGACAAAGTTTATTCCTTGATTCAAAGTTTGACTTCTCAAATTAGACATCGAATGGAAGATCCCAAATCATCAGGTAAATAATGTATTTCTTAGAACATAAATAAAAGCTACTGTCCATTTACTATAACCATTTTTAAATTAGGTACACCTCAGTCGTCTTACTTTTAAATGTATACAGCAAAGAAATAATAGCTAAGTTGTGACTGCTTTTACCCATGACAGCACGAAAAAACGTTTTCCTTTGATCATGTAATTACTTAGCATTGCTGTATAGTTAGATGGTGAATGAGCAGCATGCAGAGGCACCACGAGATGACCTGTTCTAAAGATGGGTTGATTATTAACCTGGACAGCTTTGGCATCTTGGGTTTCTTATTGATAACATTGATCACTTGAACTGGTCATAATTTGTAAAATTCCTTTCTGCTGGAGATAGTTGACCTATGTTTCTTTCTCTTATTGTTATTAGAGTTATAATATCTGGAAAAGTTATTTTATGAATCCAGTTCCTAACCCAAGCATTTATACCTATATCCAAGTCTTAAAAATACATGGTTGCTAGGGGCTGGCGCTATGGCACAGTGGGTTAATGCCCTGGCCTGAAGCACCAGCATCTCATATGGGTGCCAGTTCGAGACCCGGCTGTTCCACTTCCAATCCAGCTCTCTGCTGTGGCCTGGGAAAACAGTAGAAGATGGCCCAAGTCCTTGGGCCCCTGAACCCACGTGGGATACCCGGAAGAAGCTCCTGGCCCCTGGCTTTGGATGGGTGCAGCTCTGGCTGTTGCGGCCAGTTGGGGAGAACCAGCAGATGGAAGACCTCTCTCTCTCTCTCTCTCTGCCTCTCCTCTCTCTGTGTAACTCTGACTTTCAAATAAATAAATCTTTAAGAAAAAAAGAATGTTAAAAATATATGTGGTTGCTAATAATTTACATATGTATGGTAATATTACCCTAGATTCTTTTTTTTAAAGATTATTTATTTGAAAGTCAGAGTTACACAGAGAGACCCTAGATTCTTACAGTGTTACCTTTGCCACCTTAAAAAGTTTCTAGTTATTGACGTTATTTATATATTGTTAATCAGATTTTTAAATTGAGTGTACTGGAAATGTTGTGTTGTTTTAGATATTCAGCTTTACCATAGTGAAACACTGGAGCTTATGCTACGTAGATGGTCCAAGTTGGAGAAAGACTTTAAAACAAAGAATGGAAGATATGATATTAGTAAAATTCCTGACATATATGACTGTATAAAATATGATGTTCAACATAATGGTTCCTTGAAATTAGAAAATACAATGGAATTATACAGGCTTTCAAAAGCTTTAGCAGATATTGTCATCCCTCAGGTAAGTAATTCTTGAGAATTTTTTTACACAATTATATAAATAGAAAATTTAATAATATTTACTGGTGGATAAAAAATAGTTGGTGTTCTTGTCCCTAGAAAACCTATAACTTATAAGAAATATGAATTTATATTTCAAGCTTTTTCTTGGGTATATTTGTGATGTTACTTGATTTTCTAAATAGTACAATTGTAGTACCTTTTTTAAGATAGACCTTATTTTTTAGAGCAGTTTTAGGTTCACAGCAAATTGAGTGGAAGTATACAGATTTTCCGTTTCTGCCTCCACACATGTACAGTCTTGCTGCTTTGTGAACACCCCCAGAGTATAGTAAACTGTTAAAACTTGATGAACCCACATTGATACAGCATTACCACTCAGGATCTGTGGTTTCCATCACTATTTACTCCCGTTGTTGCACATTCTTTAGGGTTAGACAAATCTGTAATGGCAGTATCCATCATTAAAATACAATACAAAGTTGTTTCAATGTCCTCAGAATGTAGTGATCTAAAGAATTGATATTCCTGAAGAACAGTGATGTGCGAACAGACAAAACTACTGAAAACCATGTAGAATAAAATACTTAAGCACTTATTGGACATCTGTTGTGCCCCTACCAGCTAAATGCTATAGAAATGTGGGGGGGATGGGAGACATGCTTGTGACCCTATATAAAATTTTTTACAAATTTTTTTACTTGAAACCATTTTGAAAATAATGTTGAGAGATCAAGTTGTAAGTATTTACTATTTTGGATGACATTGTTGGATCTTTTCATTATAGAAAAAGAAAAATTAAGTTGTAATCAGAATACAGATAAAGTCCAGTCAAGTAGAGAATCAGACTGATAATGGAGGAGGAGGTGACAAAACACAGTGAGATCATGACTCCAGGGGCACTTCAGTTAAAAAGTGCCCATTATGAAAAAACTATGCATGGATTTCCAAATTTACCAAGTAAATCTGCCTTTTAATTCCATTTTTGTACTACCTTGATCTTTTTAAAGATGCATTTATTTACTTATATGAAAGGCAGATTGACAGAGAGGAAGAGGCAGTGAGAGAGATCTTCTATCCACTAGTTCACTCACCACATGGCCACAATAGCTTGTTTTCTTGATATTTCACTTGTAGTAATTCTTTATAATTCTCATTAACTCATAGTAACTATAGACATCAGTAAATTTAATACTTTTTTTTGGCATTTTTGTTTTCCACTTGTTAAAATAAAAACATTAGCTAAAAGCTTTTTGCTTTTTTCATTTAAGACCTCTGATTAAGTTGAAGATGTTCATAAAGACTGTTCATCTGCCCGTCTTCAGATATAACTTACTTGCTTTCTCAGATGCACTGCGAAGTCCTTCCAGTGACATTGAGTAGTTTGGAAACAGTTTATTTGCAGTTTCAAAAAATGCAAACCACAAGTTGTCTAATGTTTACAAAGGCTTAATGAAATATTTGTTTCTCACTAGAATTCTTTAACTGAAGAGTGCATTTGTTAGAGCTCTTTGTCATTTTACCCTTTTTTCTAATATTATGTATTTTCTGCTCAGGAATATGGTATAACTAAAGCTGAAAAACTGGAAATTGCCAAAGGCTACTGTACTCCTCTAGTTAGAAAAATTCGCTCAGACCTTCAGAGGACACAAGATGATGACACTGTAAATAAACTCCACCCTGTGTAAGAGACTGCTAGTTATTTAAATCTGTAGGCATCTCTTTTTGCGTACCTTGAATCTAAATTACTTTTCAGTGTTTCTGTGAAGAGATCAGTAGTGTATCACTTGGCATATCGTGAACATAGAATTATGTAGGTAATCCTATCAGATAAATTCCATCCAAGGTTCTTTTTGGCTGCAATTTGGACAAAAACTAAGGTGAATGGGGAAAAAGGGCTGTGTGTCATCACTCACCTGAGATCACCAGTGTGTGCCCCAGTCAGCAGCGTCAGTGGCTGAGAGCTTTAGGACAGTTAGCCTTTGTCATTACTGCTGTCTACACTGAACATGGCTAAATAGTAAGTCTGTTCTTCCCCTGACTAATCTGAGGTCCTAGTTAGTTCAGTTAGCATCCTGTTAGATATCAGCTAAGATTACTCCTCAATTCTGATTGGAAAAGTAGTAGATTTGATTCACTTATGATGATGATTTATTTTAAGTAAGATTACATTCCATTTTGTAAGATAATTCCAATATTCAGTAAGTCTTTAACTTACTGTTCTGTTTTAATACTGTCTGCTTCTAATTTTAGGTATTCCAGAGGTGTTCTGTCTCCTGAACGTCATGTCCGTACCAGATTATATTTTACCAGTGAAAGTCATGTACATTCTTTATTATCTATTCTTCGCTATGGTGCCTTATGCAATGTAAGTGGAATAAGTTATTTATTGTATTTCCTTGAATTGTTAATCGGATCACTAATAACTGCTGTTTTTATGTGGAATTTTAATAACTCATCATTATGTTTACAATTTTACCATCATTTTCTTAGGTATTGACTATATTCCAAACACTGATAGAGTTTGAGAGAAAAGATGCTTTTTAAAGAAGATCCATTGAACATGCAAAGTATTTTAGAAGATGTTGTAAGCAGGTGGCTATGCAATAAAGAAAAGCTGATGGATTTGTCATTAAGGGGACTTAAGTCATTTAGGGGTCAGAATTGCCAAGACTTGATATTTGATTAGTTATTATGCCTCTTTACTACTATTAATTGGGACCTTAGCTGGAGTTATTGACCATAGAATGTACAAGTGGCCTCTTCATGTGGCCTGCTTCCTAAAAATAACACAGTCGGATTCCATCTGTGAGCTTCCTCAGTAAACAAGGTGCAAACGCATGGCATTTCTCTGAACTAACTTCTGTATCATACAGCATCACTTCTGCTGAGCTCTATCAGTTATGGCAGTCACAGGGGTCTATCCAGATTAGATGGAGGGGAAATAATGCACATCCTTAGGTGGATGGGGTGTCACTGTAATATTATGTGGGATTGAATAAATGTGACAGCCATCTCTGGAAAATACAGTCTGCTACAGTGTGCCTGTTTCCTACAATGTCTCACATTCTTCCCACATGCAAAACTCACTTAACCTCTCCCCTAATGCCAAATGTTCCAGGTATATCCTATTATAGCATAAACTTGAAGTCCAGGATCTTGTCATCTATACCAGCCATCCCTAAACTAGCAATAAGATAAAAATTTGCTCTTGTTTTCCTTTGTATTTCTTGGTATACAGAAGTATACACATCTACGAATAGACTTAAAAGATACAGAAAATTTGCATCACCTTTTAATTACATTTTTCCATGAAATTTTTGAAGGCCCCTTATCCATAAGAAGTGATCTTTAAGGGAAAATTAATTTAATTTTAATTTACTTTTTAAATAAAGGACTGTGATGATTGGGTATATGTCTTGTTTTCTGATCTGTATTGGGCCTTGGGAATAGTTATTTAAGTTAACCTAAGACTATTTCAATATTCTGTTCCCATCACAATTTCAAGCTAATTTATTCTTTTGTATTTAAAAAAAAATTTGAGAGAGAGAGAGCAAGCTCCTGTCTGCTGGTTCCCTCTTCAAACGCCAGTTACTTTAACTGTTGCCTTTCAAGGTCTTCATTGGCAGGAAGTCAAGAGCTAGAACAGGGAATCAAATTCATCACTAGGAATTGGAACACGAGTGTCACAGGTGTCCTAACTGCTAAGCTAAACATCTACTCCCTCCATGTTCTTTCTTGTTTTGGTTTCTTAACTCATTAAGGAATAACACTGTGACATTGTTACATACATATATGGGTTAGAAGAAAGTTAGTGATACAGAAAATGATCTTTAATTACTAAGAGCTTATACATCCAGTAGCAATAATGAAATTGTTTTTGAGGACAGGACATATGAAGATACTTCAATAAATTCATGGAAAAATGGAATTGAACAATAAGTTTCTTGTGGTGCCAAAAAATTTAAATCCATGCATATTTTTCTAATACTAAAATTTTCTGTAAACATTTGAAGACCCCTTCTGTATCTTCCATGATCCTCCTTGTGACCTGTTGCACATAGCTGTGCAGAAGGTACCAGAAACATTCAAGACAGGAACCAAGAAAGCCTATATTTGGAGTGTAGTAGTGAATGCTTGGTAAAGTGGAAGCAGATAAGGTTGGAGGGCAGGCCTTTGTATTCTAAGGGGATTAAGAGACCATTTAAGCAGGGAAGTGGGTGGCTTTGGTTACTGTGTAGACTAGAAACAGGCGCAAGAAGATATGAGGAATTCAGTTAGAAAACTGTTACAGTGGTCTTAAAGATACTTATACTTTGGACTAAAGTAACAGCACGAGATCTAGAGCTTGTTGAATACTGGCTGAACTTCTAAAGCAAAAACCTAACAAATCCATTCTGTGCTCCCAGGAAAAAACAAATTACCTGTATTACTAATGTGAAAAGTAAAGTGTATACCCAAATGATGAGCTATGTTCTAATATTTGAAAAATAATTATTTGAACTATACAAACTCTTACTATCCTTTTTAGAGTAATATTCTTAAAACTGGTCAACCTCTTCCCAATTGAAATTTTTCATTATTCAGATGGATTGGGCAAAATCTCCCTCTGTAATAGATTTTTTTAAAAATTTTTTGAGAAAATGCGATACAGACAGACTCATGGAATATATAATGGCACTTAATTTTTAGAAGATCTTCGTGGCTTCTTACATTTTAATTATGTTCAGGAAGATACTACTAAGTATCATTTAATTTTTGCTGTTCATTATAGCAGACCTGGCAAAATCACTAGATGGTGTTCTTAATAATACAGAATCACAGAGTCCAACATGCCTGCTCACTTGATGAAAATTTTCAGTATTTAATGTAAACTCATCATTTACAGTAGATTGTATCTAGTGAAAATTAGTAACATGCTAATTTTTAAAGATTTGTTTTGGAGGCCAGTGCTAATCCTCTGCCTGCGGCGCCGGCATCCCATATGGGCGCCGGGTTCTAGTCCCAGTTGCTCCTCTTGTAGTCCAGCTCTCTACCGTGGCCCAGGAAGGCAGTGGAGGATGGCCCAAGTGCTTGGGCACCTGCACCTGCGTGGGAGACCAGGAGGAAGCACCTGGCTCCTGGCTTTGGATCGGCGCAGTGCCAGCTGTAGGGGCCATTGGGGAGTGAACCAACGGAAGGAAGACCTTTCTCTCTCTCTTTCTCACTGTCTATCTGTCAAAAATTTTTTTTTCATTTTGTATTTATATGAGAAGCAGAGTTACAGAGAAAGAGGTAGAGGCAGAGAGAAAATATTTTCCATCTGCTGATTCACTCCCCAAATGGCCACAATGGCCAGGACTGGGCCAGGATAAAGCCAGGAGCCAAGAGCTTACTCAGGTCTCACGTGGGTACAGGGGCTCAAGTGCTTGGACCATCTTCTGTTGCTTTCTCAGGCACATTTGCAGGGAGCTGTATCAGAAGTGGAATAGCTAGGACTCCAATTGGTACCCATATGGGATGCTGGCATTGCAAGCAGTAGCTTAACCTGCACCACAACACCAGCCCCTAATTTGGTTATCTTAACAATTTTGGGAAAAAAAATCACATCTCAAACACAAACGCAAATAAATGTAGTTTTACTCTGAAGTGTTGTTTACAAATGTGTAATGTCTAAAGTAAAAAGGAAATATGTGCTGAATTTTTGAAAGTAATCAGAATATGTTTTCTAAAATGAGGCACTTTTATATTGAAGTTGAAAATATATACAAAAAATTGTTGGGCGCTCTTAAATATTTGTAATGTTATGATACATATAAATATGAAGAAGGAGAGTTATCTGTGATACAAATAAGTTTTAAGTAGACTTTGTTGGCCATATACTTCACGCCCAGAGTTTTATCTTTTCAGATAGAATTTTTTACTTTGAATGATTATAGTGCATGGTATGTAAGATCCTTTTAAGTTCTGATCTCTATGATTACATGTTTAAAGACCAAAGATTCTCTAAATGAAGATGGAGGAGTGGTGAAGGAAATGGTAAGATCAATAGAATTTACATACACTTCCTATTGCTGATTTTTGAATATCATTGCAGTGTAATCAGGGATAGGCATGTATCACTTACATGAACTATATGATTGTGGGCAATGGTGCTACTCGTATACTAACAAAACATGTTACTATACAAAATACTTCTGAACTTGAGAGGTTAAAACTATCATTTAGCCTCAGAGTTCAATAATGAGTATCATATTTCAAGAGATATTTTTACTTTGTATAAGTTGTTTTTGTTTTAAGTTACAATTAGTGTTTCTAATACTACCAAGGTATTTTTAAAATAATTTAAACAAGTGATTTTTTGGAACTTTTAAATGTAGTGAATGAAGTTAATTGGAAAGATTGTGCACATAGTAATTATTCACCTTCGTTGTGTGGTGTCACTGAGGATTAAAGAAGCTACAGTAACGACAGTAAAGTGACTTTCTAGTACTGCATATTCCTTTTGTTCAGGAATCAAAGGATGAACAGTGGAAACGAGCTATGGATTACCTAAACATTGTCAATGAACTCAACTACATGACGCAGATTGTTATCATGCTGTATGAGGATCCGAACAAGGTAACAGAGCTCTAGATTTGTGTACATTACAAAAACTAAATAAATAACTTGAAGTTCCTCATTTTAAAAATGTTCTGTCGTATTTTTTAGGATCTCTCCTCAGAGGAACGCTTTCATGTTGAATTACACTTTAGTCCAGGAGCCAAAGGCTGTGAAGAAGACAAAAATTTACCATCCGGTTATGGATATAGACCGGCCTCCAGAGAGGTAATGCAGATAGAGCTCTTAGTGCTTGATTACTGCAGCTTTAAATTTTTGTGAGATCTCTATAAAGCACTTCCTATTATGTACTAGAAATCATCCTTATTACTAGGGAGAAATATGACTTGAATTTTTAAAAATATGGTCTGGGTGTACAGCATTTTTATGTTTATTAGAATACTCAAAAATTTTATCTTATTTAGAATGTTTGAGTTTTAAACCTGGTGTTTCAAAAGAATAAGTATAATTTCTTTTTATTGCTGTTATTTTACTGGAAGACTAATCCTTGCTAAAGGCTGTGCTAAACTTTTAATATGACATAAATTTCTGCATTTTAATTCTTAGCATTTTAAGGTTGTTTTTTGTTGTTGTTGTTTTTAAGATTTATTTGTTTATTTGAAAGTCAGAGTTAGGCAGAGAGAGAGAGGTCTTCCATCCCCTGGTTCACTCCCCAGTTGGCTGCAACAGCCAGAGCTGTGCCAATCTGAAGCCAGGAGCTTCCTCCGGGTCTTCCCATGTGGATGCAGGGGCCCAAGGATTTGGGCCATCTTCTACTGCTTTCCAAGGCTATAGCTTAGAGCTAGATCGGAAATGGAGCAGCCGGGACTTAAATGGACGCCCATATGGGATGCCAGCACTGCAGGCAGTGGCTTTACTTGCTACACCACAGCACCGGCCCTCAGTTTAAGGTTTATGAGATTCTTACTATTTCTTCTTTAAATATATGTTAAAATTCATTGCTTGGAATTCATGTAAATCTAGAGTTTTTGTTGGGAGGGATATTTTAAATTATAGATTCAATTTCTTAAGATATTTATTTATTTGAAAAGCAGAGAGGGAGAGATCCAAGGAGAGAGAGGAGAAGAGAAATATATTCTGTCTGCTGATTCACTCCCCAAATGGCTGCAAAGGCCAGGATCTGGCCAGCCAAAGCCAGAAGCCAAAAACTCCATTTGGGTCTCCCACATGGGTGACAGAGGTCCAAGTAGCTGGGCTATCTTTCACTACTTTCCTAGGCAGATTAGCAGGGAGCTGGATCAGAAGTGGAGTATATAGGACATGAACCAGAACTCACATGGGATGTCTTTGTCCCAGTTGGTAACTTAACCTGCTATGCCAAGATGCTGGCCCCTCAATTTCTTTAATTGATGTAGTAGTATTATTCATATTTTCTTTTTTTATGTTTTTTTTAATTTAAGGCAAATTTCATATATACAGATTTAGGAACATAGTGATATTTACCACCCTGCCTTTCCTCCCAGTATCTCTTATTACCTCTCTTATTTTTTTTTTTTTTAAGATTTATTTATTTATTTGAAGGGCAGAGTTACAGAGACAAAGAGTGAGATCTTCCACCTGCTGGTTTACTCCCCAAATGGCCACAACAGCTGAAAATGGGCCTATCCAAAGCCAGGAGCCAGGAGTTTCCTCTGGGACTCCCACTTGGGTGCAGGGGCCCAAGCATTGGGCCATCCTCTACTGCTTTCTCAGACCATTAGCAGGGAGCTCAATTGGAAGTGGAGCAGCCAGGGCTCAAACAAGCGCCCTATGGGATGCTGGCGCTGCAGAAGGTGGTTTTACCAGCAGTACCATGGCACTCCCCCACCCCCGCAATTTTTGCAATGATCTACTTTCAGTTTACTTTATAATCGTAAGATTAACCTTATATAAGTAAAGAGTTCAACAAATAGTTTTTTAATCATTTTTCAAATTTTTGGTATACAGTTATTTATGCTATCTTTATACTATCTTTAAAATAATAATAATTGTAATAGTATGTTGCTGTGGATTCATTCTGAGAGGAGGAGTGCCATGGGGGTAAGAGGCGTGGAGTCACCACACAGACACCAGGAGTTGGGTGAAAGCAGGCTACAGGCGAGCAGCTCGCAAACTCGTTTATTTCAGTTGGTACAGCAGCTTATATAGCTGAGACAGTCAATCTGGTCAAGGGACAGTTTATTCCCTAACCAATCACAGCCTGTTACCAGGCAGGCTCCTTTGCCAGGAGGGTTTCAAAGCCATTCCTGAGTAACTGGCACTTTCTTGTCAGTGGCCATCTTGGCATGGCCTTCTCATTGGCTTTTTTTTTTTTTTTTTTTTTTTTTTTGACAGAGTTAGAGAGACAGACAGAAAGGTCTTCCTTCCGTTGGTTCACCTCCCGAATTGGCCGCTACCGCTGGCGTACTGCACCAATCTGAAGCCAGGAGCCAGGTGCTTCCTCCTGGTCTCCCATGCAGGTGCAGGGCCCAAGCACTTGGGCCATCCTCCACTGCCCTCTCGGGCCACGGCAGAGAGCTGGCCTGGAAGAGGGGCAACCGGGACAGAATCCGGCGCCCTGACTGGGACTAGAACCCGGGGTGCTGGCGCCGCAGGCGCAGGATTAGCCTAGTGAGCCATGGTGCCAGCAATAGTAATGTTTTCATGTGTCTTTCCTCATCTAATGAGGGCAATTATATCTCCAATGCATATATTACAAAGAAAACTTAAAAATAAATGGTGTGAATATCCATCAAAGTGTTTTATGATTTCTTAGTCTGTTCAGAGAACCGTGGTATTTTTCTCTTTTTCATTAACCTCTAATTTTTTTTTAAAGGTTTACTTATTTACTTGAAAGTCAGAGTTACACAGAGAGAGGAGAGGCAGAGAGAGAGGTCTTCCATCTGCTGGTTCACTCCCCAGATGGCCGCAACGGCCGGAGCTGCACCAATCCGAAGCCTGGAGCTTCTTCCGGGTCTCCTACAAGGGTGCAAGGGCCCAAGAATTTGGGCCATCTTCTGCTGCTTTCCCAGGCCATAGCAGAGAGCTGGATTGGAAGTGGAGCAGCTGGGTTTCGAACTGGTGCCCATATGGGATGCTGGCACTGCAGGTGGGAGCTGTATCTGCTATGCCACAGTGCCGGCACTTGATTTTTTTTTTTTTTTTTTAAGATTTATTTATTTGAAAGACAGAAAAACAGAGAGGCAGAGGCAAGGGGAGAAGGGCCTTCTATTCGCTGGTTTACTCCCCAAATGTCCACAATGGCTGAAGCTGGGCCAATCTTAAGCCAGGAGCCAGGAGATTCTTCCAAGTCTTCTGTGTGGGTGCAGGGGGCCCAAGGACTTGAGCCATCTTATGCTTTTCCAAGCCATACCAGAGAGCTGGATCAGAAGAGGAGCAGCCAGGACTCAAACCGGTGCCCGTATGGGATGCCAGCACTGCAGGCTCTGGCTTTACCTGCTATGCCACAGTGCCAGCCCCTGATTTGGGATTTTCTATTTCCTTCTACGTTCATTGGATTTATTATGTTGATTTACCTTCTGATTTACTTTGATGGATATTCACACCATTTATTTTTAAGTTTCCTTTGTAATATTTGCATTGGAGCTATAAATGCCCTTGAAGCATGCCTTTAGCTGCAGCATACAAGTATGTGTGATCATTTGTGATCTGCATGTAATTTTTCTTTGATTCATAGGTTTAGAGATTTCTTGCTCAATTTCCAAACATGAGAATTTTATGGGGAAGCTTTTGTTCCTGGCCTCTAGATTAACTCCATTTTTATCAGAAAATATAATTGCTGTAATTCCATTTGTTTGAAATATATTGGGAACTGATTTATGGGCCCACATATGGTTAATTTTTGATAAATGCCGCATGTGCAACGAAATGTATTTTCTTTTCTTTGTTCAGTACAAGCATTCAGTGTGAGTCATTTTCATAAAGTTTATTAAATTTTGTTGTTCAAATCTTCAGTATCTTTAAGAGATATTTGATGTACCTGCTCTATCAGCTACTTATAATGGTGTATGAGAATATTCCACTGTGTTTGTGGGGTGTCTTGTTTCTCCTTACAGTTTTAAGAGTTTGTGCTTCACATTTTGAGCCCATGCATATACATTTCGAATTGCCATGCTTCCCTTATATCTTTTCTCATTATGAAATGTTATATATATGCCTAGAAAATGCTTCTTGCCTTATGGTCTACTTCAGTGTAATAAAGCTAGAGCAGCTTTGTTTAAGTTTAACATTTTCGTGATATGTCTTCTTTTTCTTTCTCTTTAACGCTTCTGTACCTTTTTGTATATTTTGTGACTTTTAAGCATCATATAGTTGAGTTTTGGTTCTTTAATCTGTATTTATAACAATCTTAGTCTTTGGTTTGACATTTAATAATTTAATGTGATTACTTTTATATTTAGGTTATGTGTACCACCTTGTTTTTTTTTTTGTTTTTGTTTTTGTTTTTTTTTTTTTTGTATTTTTTCAACTGTATTTTCATCATTTTTTCTCTCTATCCTTCAGGCACAATGTTTTCTTTGTATCTCTTCCAGTGCACAAATTCTTTCTAGTTGTTTTTTTACTATGCTGTTAACCCTGCTCATTGAGCTCTTAATTTTAGAACACAATAAGTAGAGTTTTGTTACTATGTTTTTCAACTCTAGAATTCCCATTTGATTCTTTCTATAATGTTTTTTTCTTAAATGAAATTCCCAGTCTTGCTCTTAATAATGTGACCATATTAATTTCAGATACAAAGTGTGTACCCTATAGCGTCACTACCTAAATCATCTGTGGGTCCATTTCTTTTCTCTTGATTTTTGGTTTCTCTTCATTTTCTTACATTCCAGGCTATTATTGATGGGATGCAAACATTGATCATTAAAAATTACAGAGAAAATTTGAGGCTGTAGTTTAGTTGATGAGATAGTCCTCAAATAGGGTTTACTTCCACTTCTAACAGGGAACTTCATGAGAACTAGCAATCTTAGATCGTCTTGATTTTATTTTTAAAGTATATTGGCCTTTCTTGTGTTTCTCATCTGAACCACACTATAAATAATAGTAGTTTGACTATATTCTCTCAAGGTTGTAAAATAATAGTAATAGTTACATACAAGAGACATTGATTAACCACAAATGGTAACTGTTCATATTCTAGTACCTCTAGAAATGTTGAATGGTATCTCCTTTTTCATATCTTTTTCTACCTATTTACCTCTAACCTTTCCAGATTTATATACTTTTACTTCCAACCTTCCCAGATTTATATATTTATAGCATATATCCTTAAAGTGGTATAGTTATATTTTACTTTTTAATCCAGACTCAGTCTTTTAATTATAGTGTGCAGATTAAATGTAATCATTGACTAATTGGAATTATATCATCTTAAAACATCCTTTACTTATTTTCTAGTGTTTCCTATTTTCTCTCACTTTGCCTTCTTTCTTTGCATCCTACTGGTAATTTTACTATTTTTGCAGTTATTCTAGAGCTAATACATGAATCATTTTTTTACTCAAATATAAGTTAATATTTTCATTACTTATTACACATATAAGCATCTTAAAACATTTTAACTTTCACTCCCCATTCAACCTTTTATATTATTGTTGTCATGTATTTTAACTATATGTGCTAGAACTTTAAAAAGTTCATGGAAAATGTACATTATCCTTTTTTATGATTTATTTATTCATTTGAAAATCAGAATTACAGAGAGACCTTCCTTCCACTGGTTCACTCCCCAAATGGCTGCAACAGCTAGGACTGGGCCAGGTTCATTCCCCAAATGGCCGCAACAACTAGGGCTGGGCCAGGCTGAAGCTGGGAACCAGGAGCTTTCTCCGGGCTACCACCTAGCTATCAGGGACTCAGCATTAGGGCCATTTTCGGTTGCTCTCCCAGGCAAATTAGCAGAGAGCTGGACTGGAAATGGAGCATCCAGGATATGAACCGGCACGCCTAAAGGATCCCTGAGTCACAGGCAGTGGCTTAACCTGCCATGCCTCAACGCCAGCCCCATGTGCATTATCTTTTAAACCCATTTGTCCCTGAATTTTTGAAGCTTGCTCATATATTTTAGAAAGTATATTTTAAGTCCTACAGATTATTATTGCTGTTTACAGTCAATATTCATTTAGACTTAGAATACTACAATGTTTAAGAATAGTAATTGTGGCCGGCGCCGCGGCTCACTAGGCTAATCCTCCGCCTAGCGGTGCCGGCACACCAGGTTCTAGTCCCAGTCGGGGCGCCGGATTCTGTCCCGGTTGCCCCTCTTCCAGGCCAGCTCTGTGCTATGGCCTGGGAGTGCAGTGAGGGATGGCCCAAGTGCTTGGGCCCTGCACCCCATGGGAGACCAGGAGAAGCACCTGGCTCCTGCCGTTGGATCAGTGCGGTGCGCCGGCCGCAGCGCGCCGGCCGCGGCGGCCATTGGAGGGTGAACCAATGGCAAAAGGAAGACCTTTTTCTCTCTCTCTCTCTCACTGTCCACTCTGCCTGTCAAAAAAAAAAAGAGAGAGAGAGAGAGAGAATAGTAATTGTGCTAGAGTTGAGGCTTATTAGAACGTATAAGCATATTTTCCTAATGAGAATAATTGTTTGAAAGATCTCCAAAAGTTCATGGGAAATGTGTTATGAAAAGACTATGCATAATTCAAAAATTTTCTGTAGCAAAATTAGTTTTTAATAACTTTATGAAGAATTTCGTTGTGTTAGAACATGTATTCCAAGTCCATTTTAGATTTATCTACATACTTAACATTGCTATTTTTATTTCTTCCTGTAACCCTTCTTTCATCTGATATCATTTTCTTCCTTTATTTTTTTGATCCACTGAAATTTACTGTTTTGGAAATGGTATGTATGATGTACAGTATAGTTCTGTGTTTTTTTCTGTGTATGGATAACTAATGTCAGCACCATATACTGAGGAGTCAATCCTTTCGCTACCATCTAGTACTACTTCTGATACTGCAAATACACATTGGGTCCATATTTTGGTGATTACTTTCTGAACTCTTAGTATTACTCAATTGGTCTGTTTCTTTCTCTGTGTCCCTCTCTCTACCAATATCATTCTTAATTACTATCGCTTTATAATAAATATTGATATCTGGTACTGAGGTCCTCCAGCTTTGTTCTTCAAGATTATCTTGACTACTTTTCATATTTCTTACATTTTCATATAACTTGTATAATCATCTTGTAATATTCCAAAAAGAATTGTTTTGGGATTTATGTTGAGATTTCATTGACTCTGCAGATCAACTTTGAGAAAAAGGATTCCTTTGTGCTATTAGACCTAGTACAAGGATTTGGTGTATTTCTGAATTTAATTAGCTGTACTTTGCATTTTTTCAGAAAGTTACTTTTTTTTTTTCTTTTCTAGAGAATCAGATTCTAACTTCTTTTTTTAAAGATATATTTATTTATTTGAAAGTTACATAGAGAGGAAAAGTCAGAGACAGAGGGAAAGAGCAAGCTTCCATCCACTGGTTCACTCCCCAAATGGCTGCAATGGTTGAGGCTGGGCCATGCCGAAGCCAGGAGTCAGGAGCTTCTTTCATGTGGATGCAGATGCCCAAACACTTGGGCCATCCTCAACTGCTTTTCCAGGCACATTAACAGGGAGCAGGACCAGAAGTGGAGCAACTGGATCTCGAACCAGCACCCATATGCAATGCGGGCATCGCAGGTGACAGCTTTACCTGCTATGCCACAACACTGGCCCCAAAAGTTAGATTTTAAATAAGTGTTGTTCCTTTGTCAGTTTTCTAGGTTATTTATATTTTTGATACCATTATAAATATTTACGTTTAATTCTCTGTTTCTTACTGTCATGTTGAATTTTAACTCATTTATGTATGATGTTTTCATAACTAGCAAACTTGCTATATGCTGTGTTTTTCATTCTAATAAGGTATTCATAGAGTCATTTGGATTTTTTGTGTAAGTGATTATATCATCTATGAATGATGACATGTTCAGTAAAATGAATACAGTTACTGATAGTGGGCATTATTTCATTCAGTGTTTGGTTCAGTGTGATGATTACTTCACGTTTTAGATATTTTTCTCTTATCTGGTTAAAGATGTTCCCTTTATGTTCTCAATTGCCTTTAGTTTGATGAGGCTATTTATGTACACGACTTGGCTTGTGTTTTATTATATCCCATTTTATCCATTCTACTATAATAGATATTTGTGTATAAAATTTCTTAGCTTATTTCTCACCTATAATGTGAGATTATTGCAATGCAGAGTTGAATCTTGCTCATTTACGTCCTAGTACAGTTCCTGGCACATGATACATACTAGTAAGCATTTAGGGGGATTCCATCAAATGATTTTTATTTTTTGTGCACTTTTATTGGAAATATTTGAAGTAGAATTTATGGATTCTAAAATTTATAAATTCAAATATTGTTTTAGTTCAAGTGGATGATAGTCCTATATAACAAAACTAATCTCTACTCTTTCTTTCCACCACTTATTGTTTATTTGTGAATCTGATAATTTAAACATTTTGGGTTTTTTGTTATTTTATTCTTTAATTTCTCCATAGAGTGATGTCTTTTCTTGAAGGCATAGACTGTTGTAAGATTTTAAAGAATACAAATAATTTATATAAACAGTTATCTGTATTTCAAGTGACATCAGTTACATCAGTTAGTCGTTGAATTTGTTTATCAGAAGAGTTTTTTTTAATTGGAATTTTAAGTGTATTGTGTTCTTTGCCCACAGAATGAAGGCAGGAGATCTTTTAAAGTTGATAGTGACGATGAACCACATACTTCTAAAAAGGATGAGGTTGATCGAGCTGTGATATTGTTTAAGCCAATGGTATCAGAGCCAATTCATATACACAGGAAATCTCCACTTCCAAGGTCTAGGAAGGTGGCTACAAATGAAGTAAGTGTATGTGTCAGAGCACATTTTCATAAAGTAAACTAACTGTATTTTAATAAAAGTGAAAAGAAAATACAGCTTTAATTATGGAGCTTGGGAACCTGACAGATTGTTAATTGTATCTATTTTTTAAATTAATATCAAAAAATGTAAAGACTTAGAAATTACAGAAATTAGTTTGGAAATGAATTTCTAACTTTACATACAGTTTTCATAATAAAATTGAAGACATGAAAATAGGGCCTTTCTAAGAAGTTAATAAACTGATACCCATCTGTCCCCCCTTTTTTTGGCTTGTTACATGTTAATTTTCAATAAACAATTTTTTAAAGCTGATTTCAATTCATCACTAATAATTGTTGGTTTAAACTGGGCAAGAATTGCTAGAGATGCTTCAGCAGTAACTGATTCCAGTGACACTAAGGCTGACATGAGAAACTCCAAATCACTAGTCTGATTACAGAAATCTACAAGAATTTCAAAGTTTGATGATGCAGTTATGTAATTAGAAATCTTACTTTTCTACTAAGATCTATAATTTAGTAGGTTAGACCTATACTATTGATAGAATAATATTTAACTATTAAAATAACATTTAAAAGGAAAGTTGAGCATTGTAATGGAGTTTTTAAAGTAAATTTTTAACAGCTGTATATGTTTTGTGCCTTCAATAAGCTTATTTCGGGTTATCTGTTCTCTGTAGGATGATACTCCCAGCACTGATTGAGACTCAATTCTAATAAATGTTTTCTAAGTACCCTAATGAAAGCAATAAAGTAAGAAGTTGACTTTACAATAGGAAGAACCACCAAGTTTTAAGTTGGAAACATTTTTTGGTTAAAATTATGCCACATTAGGATAATGTTATCTAGCCAGTTGATTAATAGGAATATAAACACCACCACCAAAAACTGCTCATTTCTACAGTCCTGAATTATACAAACAAGAGTTTTATGATTCTCAAATAGCAAATATATATGTGCTCTAATTTTTATATATAGGAAAATATATATAGAAAAAGCCTATAATAAAACAGATTATTGCCACTTTATTTTGGAAACCATATATTAAAATTCCAATGAATATGGTATTTTAAATTAATTATAAAAGAGGGTGATTAATAATTCTAGAATTTGGGATTATTTATTTTATTACAGCTAATTGAAAAATGAAAATTTGGGGATTATGCTTGGGTATCCTTAATTTCAGAAAATAGGAAAATCAATTTATATTAATATAACCTAAACTACCACTTGTATGAGGGCAGTGATTTTGATGTGTTATTGAACAGGCAATCTGTAGTTAATCAGATTACTCATTGAAATTCCCCCCACCTACTCTGTCCTCTAGAAAGCCCTTATACCATCAGTACAGCAGAATCAACCATGACTCTTCATTCTGTATCTCATCTGTATTTGTAAGCCTTCAGCAAAATCACTGCCCTTGTTAATTTTTAAAACACAAAGCACATTTGTAAATCTTTTTCTTATGAATAAATAGTTGCTTTCAAGAAATCATTTCTATGCCATGCTAAACTTTTACTTCCATAAGGTAAATTATTCAAGTAAAACCTTGAAGACTTTTTCCAGCGTCCACCATCTCCATGGATATCCGAAGTTTGCAATTCCAAAAGACACACAGAGAAAAAGACAATTCTCTTCATTTTGTGCAAGTAGATCTTACTGTGTCCTCACTGTCTGAAACCTGAACATGCAAACATGGAAAATGAGAATGTTTGCTGCATGGTTTGCCTACTTGAACTCTATAATCTTTGGAGGGGGTCACGAATAGATAGCAGTTTAAATAGAAGACTCAATAAGGGCAATTTGAATCCATTTAATGATGTCTGGATTTTTTTAATGCTCAGCAGACAGATTTTCATGACATTGTATACATTGAAATCTCTGATACTTGCCACAATTCTTTAGTTCTTTGGGTTAAAAAGTTCACCAAAAAAGGTACTAAATCTTTTTAATATCTAAAATTAAAGTGAGTACTTTTATATTTAAAAAGTTGCTAAAAAGGAAACAAATCTTTTCCAGTTCTGAGAGGGAAGAGACAACTATTAAGCAGTATAATGATTTTATGTGTTTTAAGGTAATATTTCTATTAATGTTATCACATACAATTAAATTTGTTATTACTATCAAATCTCAAATAGTGAAATATTTGGCTCCCAAATTACTGTTTAATAGTTTTTAAAATAATTGATGATGCAAACAAACTGTATTTTTTTTTCTTTCTGATCATTTGGCTCTGTTGTATCTAACTCTGCATGCTCTGCTTTTGTTTTTGTTTTTGTTTTTGTTTTTGCCCCCTTTCTCACTTCCAGGAAGAGAGCCCCCTGAGTGTGTCTAGCCCAGAGGGTACTGGTACCTGGCTGCATTATACCAGCGGTGTGGGTACTGGGCGTCGAAGACGCAGATCAGGGGAACAAATCACTTCTTCCCCTGTCTCCCCCAAATCATTGGCTTTCACATCCAGTATTTTTGGCTCATGGCAACAGGTTTTTAAACTTTACTTCATTAAACATTTTTCCTCCCCATATTCAGAGCAACAAACAGCTGTCTTTGAGGACATCTAATCCCTTGTATTTTGCATCAGAGTAAATCCTTCTGTTTTTTAGTTTTGAATTCATTAAAAAAAAAACTTATGATATAAGATTATATTTGAGGGAAGGATACCATTTACATTGCATGTGTTCAGTATTTTTACTAGGAAGGTTTTAAAGATCCAGGATTGATAGATTGTATTCTCCTGGAACTTTGGCTTGCTAGTAAAATTAATTAAAAAGAAAAGAAATCTTTTTTTGGGCTTAGCTGTCCTTTAAAACCTTCAGAAACAAAATTCTATAATTTGGTAAGAAAATTTTATAGCTTCCCCCCAATAACTGAAAAATTAGATTTCAGTTGGAATTTTCTGAGAATGCAAGCATTTTTTAAAATATCAAAATTTGTATGGCCCAGTATTCATTAGTAAGATGTCTATTACTGACCATTCACACTATTCCATTATCTGGAAGTGTATAATTTAAGTGATATATGCAGTATGTTTCCTTTGAGCTGTATAATATTTGAACAAGGGGCAAATGTGTGTGTGCCCATCAATAATGAGTCAAAATAACTTCAGAAGGACTTTCTGTGATGATGTTTGGATACTGAAAATACTATGGTTTGTGTTACAATGGAAGGTCTGCTGTTACATATGACTTTTCTGATAATTTCAGCAATTTCCTTTTGGAAATACAATGCATTTGATTATAGGAAAAGGGATTATGGTATCCATTAAGGCTGTGAATATTGAAAGGTTACTCTGATAAAGCCCGTGCATGGATCAGTAATTGTATGGTGATCTCAACAGTCTGTCTGTCTGTTCTTTTGTTTGTGGTTGTTTTTTCCCCCTTGAAATACAGGAGCTGTTTAAGAGTGGGCATTTGGCTTCCTTTAAGAGTGAAATTATATCAGTCTCTTAATTGTTTTCTTTTCATCTGTCTTGTCTCATACATACGTGTTTCATTCTGAATGCCTGCTTCCTACCACTTCATTGCAACGACCTCATATGAAATGAACTCCCTTCAGAAGGGGATCTTGCATGATCTTTCATGTTCTATATATATTTCTACTAATATTTATCATACAGCTTATTAACCTTTGTCTGTCTGGAACAGGCTGCATATGAAGTATGGACTTTTGAATTTGTTTTACCTTTTATTTCACTTATTTTGCTTTCCTTACACAGGTCGTATCTGAAAATGCGAGCTACCTTCGAACACCAAGAACTCTTGTGGAACAGAAGCAGAATCCTACTGTAGGTATGTGGTGTAAAGGAAGTTGCGTTCCATGCCCTTCTTAAACTCACTGTTGTGCACAGCGTGAAGCTCCTCGGTGGTGAAAGCATGACCAAATGCTATGCTTTACTGTTTATTTAACGTTTACTCGTGCAGGACTGTTGAGCTGTAAAGCTCAAAATACACAATAAAGTTCCAATAAGATAAGTAGCATTTAACTCTTTTTTGTTTAACCCTTTTGAATGCTGACTACAGTAGCCATTTAGTTTACCTGGAAATGCTAGTTTTTAACTTTATACTCCATGACTTAATTGATGAAGGAAACTTCATTTTCCCAGTTTGATAAAGACAGGATTCTATCGCATGCAATAAAGAACCTTCTGTTTGCCCATTAGAAAGCTTTTTTAAGAGGGGAGTGTTTCAGACCCTAATTGGTGTGTTGATTTTCCTTTCGAGTAGCTCTTAAGGCATGGCTGGGGAACCCGTTTTTCTGCCAAGGGCCGTTTGTCTATTAATAACATCATTCATAGGCCATACACAATTATTTAAAAATTAGCCTGCTGTAGATTTATTGAATTTTGAGTCCCACCTGTGATTGCCTTGGCAGGGCTGAAGCCCTTGGGCTGGACATTCCACACCCCAGCCTTAAGGAAAACCAAAGCAAAACTAATGTACAGTGGTCTTATTCTTTATTGAACTACAGAACATGATTGGCTCTTTGCTGGAACTCAGAGCATCATTGGGAAAGGCCTTTCCAGACTTTAATGGGTTTTAAGCTCATGATTGATAAACTATGAGCTAATGTCTTACTGCTTTCTGTGAATAGTTGTCTAAGTAGGTTTAATACAAACATCAATATATTTCACTGTAAGTGTTCACTATGCACTATGATCTCAGTCATAAGTATATGGACTGTGTTGATGCCTACGTACGTGAGGATCTGTCCTTAGTTAATTACATATTGCTGGTGTTTATGGCTTTTAATATTTCCACAGTACCTATAGAAACAATATTACCACTTCTTATTGATGTATCATAGTATATTTTATAGCAGTTGGTGAAAGTTTTGCTTGGGTGTAAAGACTTTTGCCACAGATTAAACATCAGTTAATACTGACTGGGTTTAATTTGCTTTAATGTTTCTTTTAGTGAGGACTAGGAGGGCCTTATTAATTAAGGTCTTTAGCCATTTGTTAAGTATTAGAAATTTAAAGGGACCTGAGCCTGAGTGACCAAAAAGGAGTTATTTTACTTGTTTTTTTTTTTTTTACAAATAAGTAACTTTTGTTATATTTTGCCTGTCTTTTTTTTCTAAGACAATTCTTAATTTAGGTTACATCAGAAAAGATTCCTCGTTTACAAGCATACATTCAAACTACTGATGCACTGTAACTTAATTTGTTCTCAGAGAGGTGCTTTAGCCTGCTGTTATAAATTGATTAACAGCATCCTCTTGTCCTAAATAAATGTTTATTGTAGTGTTTTTAATACTTTTAGGATGTATATGTCTATTTATTGTGTGGGCATATTATTTTTTCTGAAGGATTACATTTTATCCAGTGTTAAATTACACTATTTGTGCATATAATAAATTGTGGTGATGATTAGAAGCATTGTATTAAAATTGGTATCACTAGGACATTACAAGCATATTGTGAGCCTGCCCAAGGCACTGCCAAAGGCTACCTTATGTGTGGTAAGAGCCATGTTAATTGCATGCTGCATGAATTCCCAATGTGAACGGAAGAACACCCGTTGTTGTATGTATTTTCTCTAACTCCCATCAGGGTCTCACTGTGCGGGCCTGTTTAGCACCACGGTGCTCGGGGGTTCTTCAAGCGCACCTAACCTACAGGATTATGCTCGTACTCATCGTAAAAAGCTGACCTCTGCTGGCTGCATAGATGGTATGTGCACACATGCACACACAGATGCATATCTCTACCCCTGCGCACACCCATGAGCAGTGTTTCTCAAAGGCAAGTCTAAGGCCAGTGACTGATTCAAGTGGAATCCTAATACTCTTTGCCTAAATGACCATAAGTGCTGTTTGTTATCCACAGCTTGGATCCATGTTTCATCCCACATTGCAGTTAGACTTAAAATACCTGTACAATCAGTAGCTTGTCAAAATGGAAAGTTTAGAACTGTCTTGTGTATAGTCTTTTAGGTAGTTGACAATATATACTCTAAAGAATAAATTTTATTTGATCTTTTTTCTTCATTTTTAACCCTTATTTTTACTCACTGATGTTGAGCTAATTAAAGTGAATAGTGCGTATAAGTAGAGGAAAATATCACATTGGCAGTAGTTTTACAAAAATAAATGTAGGATGAGAATATTTTAGGATCCCTTGCTGGGAGAGATCCTCTCAATATTGTTAGTTTTGATATTTCTAGTTTTGAAATTCAAAATCTTTTTTGAGTTAAGGCTTATGGAATCTTGTCCTTTAGTTGAGAAGAGTGTTGTTAGTTCTTTCAGGGCAGCATTATTTAAAAACCGTTGCTGATATTCACAAATTTGCCATCATTAGTAACACATGGATTGACCAGAATTGCCAGCTCATCCTGCTTTTCTTTTCTTTCATGAAACATTGAGCCTCTCTCATCAAGCCGATTCCCCTCTCTTAACCAGGATTTGGCTTATTACCTTCTCTCATTGTTCCTTCTGCATGTCACCTGATTCTAACCTCGTCATATATTTGTTCTTCCCCTCTTTTTTTAAGTGTTCTTCTTTTGGTAGCTGTTACGAATTTCAGGTACCTGTTTTTCTCTTTCTCAGACGCCACACGCGGTTCTGCTGTTAAAAGGTTTTCTATCTCATTTGCTCGACACCCAACCAATGGTACGTTTTGCTTTTATTTTAAAAGATACTCCCCTGCTTCTTCCCTTATTTTTCTTTTATTTCAAAATGTGGGGTGTTCAAAATCATTCATTTCTTTGCCCTTAATTTCAATTGGCATATAATTACAATTTGTTGTTCACCCAAATAACTGATACTGTCTGGCTACTTTTTTCAACTGCAGTATACACAATAATTTAGTATACTCGTCAAATATTTCAATGACCACAGTGATGATGAGTTTGTAATCCTAACTTAACAACTGAAAATTCTGATTGCTCTAGTGATCAGTCCATACAAATTTTTAAAATACTATAATTAGTATTCTTTAACTTGCTCTTAATTCTTAATAATTGTAATGCTTTTTTTTTCTTCCAAATTCCTTTTCTGAACACATGGTTGTTGAGATCTTTAGCAGAAATACAAAGTAACTCATCCAATAGCCAAAGGAGATGTGTCTTTGGAATGTTCTGGGGATCCAGATGATGGAGGATTTGACTGTGCGATGTCATTTATCCCTGTCTCTTTGTCTAACGCAAAACCCAGCTTGATCTGGAGCACTCTGAAAGCTCTGTCCAGCAGTCACTTTGTCCTCGTGTGGCAGCATGGTTTGCCGTTATCAAGTGGCCAATTCCTTTTGCGACCACTGACTTTTCTTAAAATTTGGAGAACACCTAACAAAAGGAAGACTAAGTTAAAATCTAGAACCCAATTCAGTTAAATTCAATTTTTGAGGATAAATGGGAAAGTATTTCCCATTACTTATAAATTGCATTGTTGCAATATTACAACTTCTTATGTAACTCTTGATTTTATGGGGCTAGGTGGAATATTTACCAACCTTTTAAAATAATTTAGGATCAAATAATTTATAAGAAAATGTATAGGTTTTTACTTTTATTTGGAATGAAGATACTTTTATTCCTGAAACTTTTTCATTTTCTTTTTACTTGCAAATAAATCTTTCACAAATGCAAACTTTCATGAAACTAAAGGATTTATCACAAGTTTATGGTCCTTCTTCCCCTTGCGGATCCTTTAACAACACATCTAGGCAACAGTGCACTCATACTTCTTGAAGGTGGAGTGAGTTCTCATCCTCAACAAGTGAAAATTTAGCATTAAAGCTTAATGTGCTTTCCCTCCATTGTAGCTGGTTAAATGCTACTTTTTGAAGACACAGATCTTATTTAATACAGCTGCAGCTTCTAAAGAAACATCATGCGCAGGAACATCTTAGAAGAAAAACAGAAGTCACAAGAAACACAGAAGTGACAAAATTCTGAGAAGAGACATTGCAGGTTTAAAACTATAGTTTTTATACCAAATGCTTGTGTGTTTGAAGCTAACATTAAAGGTTTCTAATCTAGGAGAACTCTGTTTGAGATTAATATTTAAAGAAAATCCTTTTGTCAGATTTAAAGAAAATAGAGTATTTTTATCTTCCTTCGGTTTAGGCTTTTTAAAAAAAAATGTATAGATTTCTCACACATTTTGCAACCTAATGCATTTAAAATGCATTCCTTTCAATTCTATAAATGTTTCTTTTGGGTTCTCAAGGTCCCTTCTTTTTTTAATGCTGTTGTCTTATCTGTCCTATGAATTGTCATTTGACCCTTCCTTTCACTTTTATTTCCCCTAACTTCCATGTTATTTCCATCTTTAACCCACATCCTGGACTTACCCCACCCTTCATCTTTAGTTGGAGGAACATGGTGAGACAAGTACCTTCTGACAGTGCTTTACCTTGTTTTCTGGGCCTCTGTGCAGAACACCTACACCTCTATAGGTGCTGGTCCGTTTCCTCTGTGGAATTTCTAGGCTCCAGTGGTATGTTTTTATAGCTTCTAAACCCGTCAGCAGGATGGCTTTTTAAATGGCTGCGCTAACCCTTTCATTGTGCATTAAAGGAAAAGCTCACTGAAGATAGGTGGAAAACAGGAGAGTCTGGAGGAACTTAATTATATTGTCATTTGCCTGTTACAGGGTGTAGCAGGCAAATGGAAGAAAATAATTGTTACCAAAATATGTAGACGTCCTAGGGAAAGGAGAAAAGAACAAAACATTGTTTAGTGTAATGCAAAGAAAGGGTTTGCGCTCATTTGCATGAATCGTGTACTTTTAAAAAAAATGTTAACAGTTGTCCAAGCCTAATTTCTTTAGTGCTTAATTTAGGTGCTTTATCTGCTGTTATGGTACTATCAGATTTCTGTTTTGTTTTTTAAAAAGTATGTGTAACGTTCTGTCATGCTTTGTTTTGCACTTGAAGATCAATAATGTGTAAGTTTTGTAAATCCTGTGATTTTTCTTCCATAGGAAGATTAGATTCCCTTTTATCTGGACATTTTCCTATTCTGACTGAGAATTCCAGCAGGTCAATATTCTCTTCCCAGATTTCAGCAAATCAAATATCACTTAATTTAAAAATGAGCACATGCCTATTGAAGCAAAAAGTTTTACAATCTAACTGATTTTAATTAATGACATGGGACTTTTTATAAAAAATTAACTATGGAAAGTATTTTCTTAGAGGAGAGTTACTTTGAATTTTCAGAAGTGTAGATATAGAAAGGTTTGTTATTTTTAGCAGTATATGAAAGCAATTTTAAAAGCCATTCATTTGAAGTTTAAGAAAACAAGCAATTTTCTTGTTAAAAGAGTGAATAATCTGTATCCTATGTAGTTAATACGTGAACTGGTATTGATGAGCTTTGGTTTCACTGATGGTATTAATGTATATCTGCATGATTGTTTCATAAGATTTTTGTATTTCTGTGCCATTGTTAAATATGAATGTTTTGTATTTTGTATTGCATTTTACTTGGCCTCACTTAACTCAGTCAGTGATTTCCAATTATAGAATTATTCTGTTAATTCCATAAAGGTAGGTGAAATTTGCTTTAGAATTTCAATTCCAGCATAAGTGAATGAATGCTGTTTGAGGATCACGCTAGAGAATATTGTTGGCCTTGGCATGTCTAGAAAGGCATTTAAAATTACTCTTCACAACATCTACATACTTGTTTTTGTTTTTTGACAAGAAGTTTACTTTAGTATCCCGGTATCAGGAGCAAATCAGAACATCTGCTCATTCAGTTGTTGAATTCTCTTGACTTTTAGAAACAAAAAATTGAAACATTGCAAATTTTTTGGTCCCCCATCCCCACAGGTTTTCTTGTTTAAGTGTTATTAGATTTTTTTCAATACAGAATAAAATTGTGTGCATGCTCTATGGTATGGTTACATTTAAATGAAGCCTTTGTTCCATCTTGTCTCCACTCCATGTTGCATAGCATCTGGTGTCATGACTTCAGAGATCTTGTGTGTTTGCATGTGAGAGAGAGTGATGCAAAGATCTAAACTTTCCACATCTAAGCAATGGTCTTCTTCTCTTCTTAATTGTTGACCCTTTAAATATCCAACATTTCTTTTTCATTTTTGTTTTCTTCTCTTCCAGGCTTTGAATTGTATTCCATGGTGCCATCTATTTGTCCTCTAGAAACTCTTCACAATGCCCTGTCTTTAAAGCAAGTGGATGAATTTCTTGCTTCCATTGCTTCTCCATCAAGTGATGTTCCACGGAAGATGCCTGAAATTTGTAGGAAATTTTACCTTCATTATTATATAACTATTCTGTAATAGATATTACCTGAGTATAGCAAGAATTATAAAAATATAAACTGAAGCAGTGGTAGTAAATAGAATTTTAGCAGAGAACCTGGTGTAGAAAGATATTATTAAGCACTGTGTGGTGTAATGGGTGATGTGTCACTTTTCTTAACTCCCACTCCAATACCTTTTTTCTTATAAAAAAGGGAAAAAAATCTTAAGACCCAGCCATAGAAGCCAACAGCATACATGGATTCATGGTCATTTTTTAAAACCATATTTGCAACAAGCTTTTTAAAAAGAAAAGATTTTTTTAAAAAAAGATTTATTTACTTATTTGAAAGTCAGAGAGAGAAGGAGAGGCAGAGAGAGAGAGAGAGAGAAGTCTTCCATCCTCTGGTTCACTCCCTAATTGGTCACAATGGCTGGAGCTGGGCTGATCCAGAGCTAGGAGCTTCCTCGGGGTCTCCCACATGGTTGCAGGGTCCCAAGCACTTGGGCCATCTTCTACTGCTTTCCCAGGCCATAGCAGAGAACTGGATCAGAAGTAAAGCAGCCAGGACTCGAACTGGTGCCCATATGGGATGCCAACATGGCAAGCGGCAGCTTTACCTGCTATGCCACAGCGCCAGCCCCCAAAAAAGATTTTTAATGTATATATTGGAAAGGAAAAATTAGAGTGAGAGGAGGGAGAGATCACTTGATCAGCGTTCCATCTGCTGGTTCACTCCCAGGTGACCACAACAGCCAGAGCTGGGCCAGGCTGAAGCCAGGAACCTAGACCTCCATTCAGATCTCCCACATGAGTGACATGGGTCCAAGCACTTTCCCAGGTTCACTAACAGGGAACTCAGTCAGAAGTGGAGCAGCCAAGACTCAAACTGAAGTTTGTATGGGATTACTAGCATTACAGGTGGTGACTTAACCACTGTGCCACACATGCCAGCCCCTTATAACAATTTTTTATTTATTTATTTGAAAGTCAGGGAGAGCTCTTGCATCTGCTGGTTCACTCCCCAGATGGCCACAACAGCCAGGTCTGGGCCAGACCAAAGCCAGGAGCCAGGGGATTCTTCCAGGTCTGCTATATGGGTGGCAGGGGCCAAACATTTGGGCCATCTTCAGATGTTTTCCTATACCTTTAGCAGGGATCTGGATTGGAAGTGGAACAGCTGGGACATGAGCTAACACCCATATGGGATACCCGTGTCACAGGCAGTGGTGTTACCCACTGCAGCACAATGCCAGACCCTGTAACAAACTTTTAAAAATTACAAAATACCAATCCACATTAATCCACACATCCACCCATGTCCGTCCTATCACCCCATTGGGGTACTTGTCGTAAACTTTCCTTTACTGAAGAGAGCACATTAGGACAGCAGTATTTCAAATGTATACCTTAGAGTGTACTCTGAAGAGGTTAATTTGTATGTGAAGGAGTATATGGCTAAGTTTTGAAAGCTGTTTATTATATCCCATCTCTATTTGGAGTGGTATTATATTATATTAATATATAGAAGGTTACAGTTCCTTTGTAAACATAGGTATGTAACCCAGATTTTCCAATACACACTCTCTCAAACACTTTCTTGGTGACACATTAAAACATCATGTGACACCACTCTGAGGGATGTCAGTTTTTTAAGGTGTGAGAACTTGGCTGGCAGCTGTCATTTTCAGCTCTGTGTGATCCCTCAGCATGCTAGAATTTCCAGTTTGGAAAGTTTTAGTTTTGGGAGTGAATGCTGTGAATCTAAGCTAAGAATCTAGCTATTCTAGTCATACCTTAGAAAAGGGACAAATTTTCTTGGCATACCTTTCATCAGAAATAAAATGTGAGGGGCATGTGTTTCTCATAAATGTTAAGACTCCACTACAAGTGCCTGTATCCCATTTCAGAATCCCTGTGTTCAAGTCGCAGCTCCACTCCGCATTTCAGTTTCCTGTTACATGCACCCTGGGAGGCAGCAGGTGCTGGCTCAAGTAGCTGGGCCCTGCCATCCAGGTGGGAGCTGTCGCTCCCCGTCTTCGTGGAGGAACGACACAGGACCCTGTGCTGTTCTTTTGTCTGCTCGTCCCTCCCCGGGTTTGCTGCTGGTTCTTCCCGGGTTGGCTACCGTCCCTTCCACCTCCGTGGAAGGGCGGTTCCCCCTGCCACTTTCCCCACTTCCGCGGGGGAGCGGCACACCGCCGGCCGGCTCTCTCGGGGGCTGCACAGGTGTTCCTCATAGATGTTCCTGGTGCATGTTGTCTCTCTCCTCCTTTATAGTCCTCTTCCACCAATCCCAACTCTGCTACCCACACGCCGAGTACGCTGCTCTCCTCCAATCAGGAGCAGGTCCTACAGCTTGTCAAGTTGGTGAGAGGCAGCTGTGTAGAAGCTGTTTCCTCCTCTCCCAGCGCCATATTGTGGGAGAGCAGATGTATAGAATAAGTCTTAATTCCAGTAGCAGTATAGTCCGAGTTGCTCCCCACAGGAGCTCTGGAGTTCCCAGCTCCTGGCTTTGGCCTTGTCTGGCTTAAGATATTGTAAAGGCATTTAGGAAATGACCCAGCAGGTGGGAGACCTCTCACTGTGTCTTTCTGTCTCTCTGCCTTTCAAATAAATAAATACAAATTAAAATAATAAATAATAAAATAAAATGAGATACCGTGGCTTTCAGGAGTGAATGCCTCTCTTACATCTTGCTATTATTCTGTTTCCTTTCTTGGGCTACTACCGTGTATAATTCTAAAGAGCACTAGTCACATTGTATTCTGTCCACCTGGTGTCCCCTGCGTTTCTGCAGTGTAGTGACCTTGCCCTTTTCTTTGATTTCTGATAATAGAGGTCAGTTTTCAGTCATTAATGGGGGTGGGAGGGAGGTATCTTGATGCACGTTCTCAAGTATTTCACTTTAGGGATGGCTTTGGGAAGTGGGTTTTAATTCTACAGTTTACATATGGATGTGTCTGATTCTACAAATTGATAATAATACTCCAAATGAAATAACTGTGCAAGCTCCTGACTTTCTCGAAGTCAGGAAAATGCAAGAGGTTTGTCTCCTTTTTTGTTTTCTGTAACATAAGAAGATGGACAGTACAGAATCTGAGGAAATTCTAGTTCACCCCTTTTCTCTTTTTTAACTTTGTTTTTTTAAAAAACATCTATTTTATTTATTTGAAAGGCAGAGTTACAGAGGCAGAGAGAGAGAGAACGGGGTCTTTCATCTGCTGGTTCACTCCCCAGTTGGCCGCAACAGCCAAAGCTGCACCGATCCAAAGCCAGGAGCCAGGAGCCAGGAGCTTCTTCTGGGTCTCCAACACAGGGGGTAGGGGCCCACGGACTTGGGCCCTCTTCCACTGCTTTCCCAGGCTGTAGCAAAGAGCTGGACAGGAAGTGGAGCAGCCGGGACTTGAACCGGTGCCCTATGGGATGCCGGCATTGCTGGCTGTAGCTTTACCTGCTACGCCACAGCACCAGCCCCACCCGTTTTCTCTTATACTTGATGTTTCATTGCTTCTCTGAGGTAGCATTTGAAATACTAAAATAGAGATTAAAGAAAGATTCCAATTAGTAAATAACGATTTAGGGCGAATATCAGTACTACTTAGGAAGATTCACAATGAAATCTGAAAGCAGTAACAGCAGCAATGACATCTGTTTGTTTGAAAAGAGTATTAGAGAAGAATTTTGACAAAAAGATAATATTTTACTTTATGACACCATCATTCTTACAGATATACCATCTACAAGAGTTTATTTTTGAAGTTTATTAGTGTATTAATGAAGCAAAGGATGTTAGATTCCTTTTCCAGGTGTTCTAATTAGCTCTTTTCTATGCTGTGGATACAAACAGGACTCCAGTTCCTCTTATTCCCTTCAGATTTCATGCCATTAGTTTATTAACAGAATTATTTGATAAAGTAAGTGTACTTAATGTAGTTCATAGAAATGGATAAACCGGGGGTCGGCACTGTGACACAGCAGATTAATGCCCTGGCCTGAAGCGCTGACATCCCATATGGGCGCTGGTTCTAATCCCGGCTGCTGCACTTCCTATCCAGCTCTCTGCTACGGCCTGGGAAAGCAGTAGAAGATAGCTCAATTCCTTGGGCCCCTGCACTCGTGTGGGAGACCTGGAAGAAGCTCCTGGCTCCTGACTTCAAATCGGCCATTATGGCCATCTGGGGAGTGAACCATTGGATGGAAGACTCTCTCTCTCTGCCTCTCCTCTCTCTGTAAATCTGACTCTCAAGTGAAAAATAAATAAATTAAAAAAATAAATAAATGGATAAACCTAAAACATAATCTAGTCTTCAAACTGGATTCCCAAGAGTCTTGAAAATTGTATTGAGTAATACAAGGATTCTGAATAGTTAGGGCTTATGTCCTTCATGGGTGCTTCACCTAGAGTTTGATCCATTTTATGTAAGACTTTGAGAGAAGTTTTCTGCTCAAAATAAAAAAGCTAGGACCAGCACTGTGGTGCAGCAAGTTAAGCCTTGGCCTGCAGCACCAGCATTCCAAATGGGCAGCAGTTCGAGTCCTTGCTGCTCCACTTCTGATCCAGCTCCCTGCTAATGCACCTGGGAAAGCAGCAGAGGATGGCCCAAGTGCTTGGGCCCCTGCACCCACATGGGAGATCAAGAAGAAGCTCCTAACTGACCCAGCCCTGGTAATTGCAGCCATTTGGGGAGTGGACCAGCGGATGAAAGACCTCTTTCTCTGTCCCTACTTCCCCCTGTAACTCTGCCTTTTAAATAAATAAGTCTTTAAAATATATGTAAATAAAAAAGCTTGAAGTTGAAGAAATCAGTGAGTTAGTGGTCAAGAAGGATTAAAACTCAGGTCTTCTAAAGCCTCTGCTTTTTTCATTCTTTGTAAGTATTAAAGAATATAGGGTCCCAATTATGACGGAAGAATCTGAATCTTGTATTTGATAGGATGAATGCAGCATTAATATTTATTAATTATGGCATATTTACATGATTTATACATATCCTCTGACTAATCAAAGAACAATTTAAACATAGAATAATGTTGATTTTGTGGCTCTCATAATAAGGGAGAATATATTGTTAATCCTCTGTCATTCAGAAAGTTTTTTCATCATCTAGGAAAAAATTGATGAATTTTGTGGTAACTACAAGATAGCTTACAGTAAGGTCCTGGCTGTTTTGGATTGAAGGAGAAAGAGGGAAAGTCCTAATCAAGATAAGTTAGTGATAGAAATTAGTAACAGGAATAGAGTAAAAATATACAAGGAGGAAAGAGTTAAGTAATTGCATAGTGCTCTATATGGGAGGAGTCTTCAAAAAGTTCATGGAAAATGTCTATTATTAATAAAATGGATTTGGGGACCGGTGCTCTTGCGCAGCAGGTTAAAGCCCTGGCCTGCAGTGCCGGCATCCCATTTGGGCGCCAGTTCTATTCCCGCTGCTCCTCTTCGGATACAGCTCTCTGCTATGGCCTGGGAAAGCAGTAGAAGATGGCCCAGGTCCTTGGGCCCCTGCACCCACGTAGGAGACCCAGAAGAAGCTCCTGGCTCCTGGCTTTGGATTGGTGCTGCTCCGGCCCTTGCGGCCATCCAGGGAGTGAACCAGCAGATGGAAGACTTCTCTGTCTCTACCTCTCTCTGTAACTTTTTCAAATAAATAAAATCTTTCAAAAAAAAAATGGATTTCAAAATTTACTGTATCAAAATTTTCAACTCTATTTTCCATTAACTTTTTCTGCATTCTTTTAAGATGTTTCAAGGACTTTTCCATCATTTATTTTATTTCCACTAGTGTCTGCCTGTCACTTGTGATATTTATAGTCGTTCATTGCAGGTAACAACCACTGAACAACCACATCTGTCGTTACAGGCTGCTACCTTGATTTTTCAAAAGCATACTGATATTGCTGTCCCATTCTCTCCCCAAATTGCAAATCTGAATTTTGTGGTCTTCCCTTCTCCCTTTATTTAGGAATTCAGAAGCTAATCCCACTGGCCCTCCACTCTCTGCCCTGATTTTGGCGTGTCCTTCTCCAGAGTATTCCATCCTTAAGCATTCTCCCCCTTTTCCCTTTTCATACTCAGACTGTCCACCTGGATTAGAAAGCAGGAATGGAGAGCAACGTCTTTTAAATTTCCTCCTTTGTGGGATGAGAAATCTCAGATGGATATTATAGGAAGATGATCTGATTTATTTAATTACTTGAAGTCTAGTTGATATTTAAATATGATCATTTAGTAGACTGTTGTATTTGTAGATGAGCTATCCCTGAATCTCCATTTGTTATTTTTGAGAGAAAAACAATTTGAGACTCTTTGACATGAAGATTACTGGCTGTTACCAGGCATTCAAAAACTGGTATCAGCTTTATGTCACACCCTCAATACCTCAGTTTCTATCAGAGCAGGATAAAATGAAGCTGGTTGCCTTATACCTTTAGGGTGTACTGTTGAAATGCTTATTACAAATAGTACAAACAGAACATCTATTTGGCTAAGACCATGGAAGAACTGTCTTTTTATAAGATTATTTTGCTAAAATTACTCTGCAAACTTTGCCTTTTCTATTTTCTACTGTTATTATGTGTATTAGAGCCACTGAATTTTATCATAAGAATTTTCTTTAATGTTAAAACAGAATTAGCAGGAAATTATTAAACTGCCATGTTTTTAATTGTTTTCTTTTTTTCTAGCCTCTGCAACTTCACGGTCCAGTCCAGCAATGAGAAGGAAAGTATCTTTAAATACATATACACCTGCAAAGATCCTCCCAACACCACCAGCTACCTTAAAGAGCACTAAAGCAAGCAGCAAACCAGGTTAGGGGTGTGTATGTGTATATGTTTATAATTTGCCACAACAATTAGAGGGATAATAAGAGCTTGCTTTTTAAATGGAATGTAAAAATTTTAAATGTAAAATTCTTGTACTTCCTAGAGTTTTCTAAAGTAATGGTCATAAGACTTAAAAATATATTGTTGACAATTGATATAAATTTTTTTTGTCCTGGTTGTTTCCCCCTCCCAGTGTATCTGTTAATAAAATGTGTTTCATATTACATTTTTTCCCACAGAATAATTTATAGACTCTTGTCTTTCTTTGATTTTCTGTTGAACCTAAGGCATCATTTTATATGAATATTTTTTCTCTTATAGTTTTCTAACTTCTCTGTTTCCATCTTAATGTTGTGACTATGAAGCTCAACTTCTCTTTTTGGCTTTTTCTGTTTTAACTTCCTGACACACTTGGTTGTGTTGTTGATCTGAAATGCTGCCTTACCTTGACTTCCAAAGCATTTCTGTATTTTGGTGTTTGTTCCATTTCTCTGATTGTTCTGTTTCTAATTTTCTTCCTACTTTCCTATTCCAGATAAGGACTTTGTACTCTCTGTTTTTTCTTATTCTGTATCTTTTTTCCCCCAGTTTATTCCATGTAACTCCAAGACTTTGACTGTGATCTCATTGGGGATATTTTTATTATTTCCCTCCTTTTAGTTCTTTCAGGCATTTTCTAAGAGTGTTCTTAGGAGTCAGGGAGACCTACATCAGAATTTGAGCTCTGCTGCTTACTAGTTAGCTAGGATCTTGGGCAAGTTACTTAATTTCTCTGATCGTTGTAGTTATAAAAGCAAGGTAATAGTACCTCATTTATAAAATGTTCAGAGATGAGTGCAATAGCATACATCAAGTGCTTGGCACATAGAAAAAATCCTCCTCACTGGGTGGTAGCTGCTGTTGATGCTGTACTAGAAGCAAACAGTTCTCACTTTGTAAAGTTGTTAATAATACTCAAATCTATGTCTTTACTGATTTTTCTTTTACTTAGCAGGGTTGGCGTGCACAGGGCGGGCATCCAGTTGTTCTCTCAGTTGTACAGAGAACAACTTCATTCACAGCCACAGAATTATCTGATTTTCCCATAGTTTGGTAAATTTTTATTTTGCAGATTTTAGAGCTCTGTTGTTAGGCACATCCTGTATACTGAGTTGTTAGGTCTTTCCAGTGTATTGACTCATTTATCACCATGGATTTTAGTGTTTGTCTTAATGCTGTTTCTTCCTTCCCAATGTGAATGTAGCTACTCCAGCTTTCTTAGGCTTATTGTGTGTGTGGTATCATTTTTCCCATTTGTCTACTTTCAGTCAGCCCATGTCTTTATATTTAAAGTGGATATATTTTGTAGAGAACATATATTTGGCTTTTTAAAAAGTCTAACAATATCTGCCCAATAGTTGCAGTGTTTAGATGTTCCATTGCTGTAATTACAGATATATTTTATGCACATAGATATATGGTTATGTCTACTTTTTATATTTTCTGTTTGTCCCTCCTGATTATTTTTGCTCTATTCTTTCCTTCCTTATTTGCATTAATTCAGTATTTTTCAAATTTTATTTTAATTTATCTGTTGACTTTTTTTTTTTTTTTTTTTTTTTCAGACAGAGTGGACAGTGAGAGAGAGAGAGAGACAGAGAGAAAGGTCTTCCTTTGCCGTTGGTTCACCCTCCAGTGGCCGCTGCGGCTGGCACGCTGTGGCTGGCGCACCGCGCTGATCCGAAGCCAGGAGCCAGGTGCTTCTCCTGGTCTCCCATGGGGTGCAGGGCCCAAGCACTTGGGCCATCCTCCACTGCACTCCCGGGCCATAGCAGAGAACTGGCCTGGAAGAGGGGCAACCGGGACAGAATTCGGCGCCCCGACCGGGACTAGAACCCTGTGTGCCAGCGCCGCTAGGCGGAGGATTAGCCTATTGAGCCACGGCGCCGGCCTCTATTGACTTTTTGTCATAGCTTCTTACATTTTTCTTCTATTGATTGCCCTAAATATATATCCTTAATTTCAAGTAACATTAGATTAATTTTGTATCACTTGAAGTAAATGTGTAAACCTTGCAACTATATAGGGTCATTATCCTGCTTCTCCTCCCATCAAATACTTACCTATATGTATTGTTTCCACATATATTATAAAGGCTGCAGTATAGTGCTACAATTTTTTTTTAAGATTTATTTTATTTATTTGAAAGGCAGAATGACAGAGAAAGAGCACGTGCAGGTTCAGTCTTCCATCCACTGATTGACTCCCTAAATGGCCTGAATGGCCAGGGCCGTGTCAGACCTAAGCCAAGAGTCCAGAACTCCATCCAGGTCTCCCATGGGATAGCAGGGACCCAGGTACTTGAACCATCATCCACTGCTGGCTGATGGAAGCTGGATCAGAAGCAGAGTAGCCGGGACTCAAACCAGTGCTCTGATTTGGGGTGCTAGCATTGCAGGTGGTGGCTTAACCTGCTGTACTCAATACCCTGGTCTCCAGTTCTGTGTATTTTAAAGAAATGAAAAAGCCGGCGCCGTAGCTCAATAGGCTAATCCTCTGCCTGCGGCGCCGGCACACCAGGTTCTAGTCCCGGTCGGGACACCGGATTCTGTCCCAGTTGCTCCTCTTCCTGTCCAGCTCTCTGCTGTGGCCTGGGAGTGCAGTGGAGGATGGCCCAAGTGCTTGGGCCCTGCACCCCATGGGAGACCAGGAGAAGCACCTGGCTCCTGCCTTCAGATCAGGATGCTGTGCCGGCCACAGCCCCAGCTGCAGCAGACATTGGGGGGTGAACCAATGGAAAAAGAAGACCTTTCTCTCTGTCTCTCTCTCTCTCTCACTGTCCACTCTGCCTGTCAAAAAAAAAAAAATGAAATGAAAAAAGGAATAAAGTTCTATATCCACATGTGTGTCAGTTTTGATGTTCTTCATTTCTTCCTTAAAGTTTGTGTTTCTATTTAATTTCTTTTTTTTTTTTAAACATTTATTTATTTTACTTGAAAGGCAGAGTTACAGAGAGGCAGAGGCAGAGAAAGTCTTCCATCTGCTGGTTCACTCTCCAGATGGCTACAATAGCCAGAGCTGAGCTGATCAGGAGCCAAGAGCTTCTTCCAGGTCTCCCACGCAAGTGCAGGGGCCCAAGTACCTGGGCCATCTTCCACAGCTTTCCCAAGCCATAACAGAGAGCTGGCTTGGAAGTGGAGCAACTGGGACTCGAACTGGCCCCCATATGGGATGCTGGCACTGCAGTCAGTGGCTTTACCTGCTATACCACAGAACCAGCCCCTCTATTTGGTTTTACTTGCTTTCAGCTTGGAATTTTTTTTTTTTCTTTTAAAGATTTTATTTATTTGAAAGGCAGTTACAACGAGAAGGAGAGACAGACAGAGCTATCTTCCTTCCCCCAACTGACTCCCCAAATGACCACAATGGCCAGAACTGGGCTGATATGAAACCAGGAACTAGGAGTTTCTTCCAGGTCTCCCACATGGGTGCAGGGACCCAAGGACTTGGGCTGTCTTATGCTGTCTTCCAGGTGTGGTTGCAGGAGCTAGATTGGAAGTGTAGTAGGCGGGACTCAGACTTGCACCCACGTGGGATGCCAGCCCTGCAGGTGGCAGCTTTAGCTGCTACACCACAACACCAGATCCCAGCTTGAAATTTTTTTTAACATTTCTTACACTAAAGATCTATTGGTAACAAAGTCTGTCCATTTTATTCTACCTGAAAAATGTATTTTGCCTTCATTCTTACATGGTAACTTTGCTGGATAAAGCAAGATCGGAAGACAATTTTTTTTTTTTGGGGGGGGGGGGGAGTTTCAGGATGGTCCACTGTCTTCTGAATACCATTGTTTCTGATGAGAAGTCTTAGTGAGTTTGAATTGTTCCCATGTATGCACTGGGTCATTTTTTTATTTAATCTTTGATTTTCAACAGTTTATGGAATGCTTAGAAACGTTTTTCTTTTTTTGGTGACAATCCTGGTTGATTATTTCTTATTTTTTTATTTTAAGATGTATTTATTTGAAAAGCAGAGTTAGAGAGATCTTTCATCAAACTCTGGTTCCCTCCCAAGTGGCCGCAATGGCCAGATCTGGACTAGACCTGAGCCAGGAGCCAGCAGCCTCATCTAGGTCTTCTACGTGAGTGTAGGGACACAAAGAATTGGGTCATCTTCTCTATTCTGCTGTTAAACCCACCTGGTTTTGAATTTTAGATCTTTCATTTCAAACATTTATTCTTTAGTTTTAGCCATTCTATCAAATTCTTCTTTATATTTTTCACAGTGATTTCCTATCTTTTTATTCATCATAAACATAATTTCCTTTGTCCAGGGGCACAGTTAAAATTGATGTTTTAAACTTCATGTCTGTTATTTGATTCAGCTCAAGATTATACAAATTCTGGGTTCTGTTATTTCAGTTGTATTCTTCCATTGTCTGATGTGTTTGTTTTTAAAGCAAAGACCTAATCTTGGCTAAACTCAGAGTGCAAAACTATGTCCCCTGAAGTGTCTGACAGCTCAAATTTCAGCTAACTTCTTTTAGCCATAACTGGACTGCTTGAAGTTTGCCTTGCATGTGCAGTAATGTTGGTCAGAGTTCTCTTTCTTAGTTTCTAGCAGTTATGATGGCCCCCCGTGCTTGTCTCCTGACCCTTCGTGCTAGTAACACTGGTTTATGTTAGAATTTTCAATGACCCATGTAGTGTAGGTTGGATCCTGTGTGCAGGTGTGCACAGGCTAAAGCTGTAAAGAAGCTCATTCCCTTAGTCCAGTTTCTAGGAAACTAATTCCTGACCAGAAACTGCCTGCCTAACTTCAGCATCTTCAGGTGGTTAATTTGTGCAGCATGAATACTTGTTATCGGTGGGAAAATTACTCTGACCAGGGGCCAGCACTGTGGTTTAGCAGGTTAATACCCTGGCCTGAAGAGTCAGCATCCCATATGGGTGCCGGTTCTAGTCCTGGCTGCTCCTCTTCCGATCCAGCTCTCTGCTATGGCCTGGGAAAGCAGTAGAAGATGGCCCAAGTCTTGGGCCCCTGCACCCACATAAGAGACCCAGAAGAAGCTCTTGGCTCCTGGCTTCCGATCAGTGCAGCTCCAGCCTTTGCAGCCAGTTGGGGAATTAACCATCAGATGGAAGATCTCTCTCTCTCTCTTTCTCTATTCCCCCCATCCCCCGCCCCATGTAACTCTGACTTTCAAATAAATAAATAAATCTTAAAAAAAAAAAAAAAAAAGAAAAGAAAGAAAGAAAATTACTCTGACCAGAGCTCACCATGCCCTCTCCAGAAGGACAGCTCCACCTGGAACAGCTTTTTGACTTTGGTGTGATATGGAATAATGAGTCCTAAGTCATAGAACGCTTCCAGTTTTCTAACCTAGTTCTTTTAGATAGTGTGAGGCGGAAAATACCAGAGGGAATAGACGTTCACAGGGAAGATGGGGAGTTCGGTTTTTTAAACATGCTAAGTTTGTTTCCTGCCAGATACCTATAGAGTTCCAGTTGGCAGTTGTGTATACGTGTCTTGAGCTAAGGGAAAAGGCCTGGGCCAAAAGTGTACATCTCAAGTCATTGGCACAGTGGATGCTAGATGAAAACCATGGTAATGAATTCATTTCCCATGAAAAATGTGGAATGAAATGAGAAAATTTACTTTGTGAACAAAGCTCATTGTCATTGCTTTTTTTTTTTTTTGTATTGGTGTTGAATTCTAAAAAGTAGAAGGTTAAAGTGCTATATTGAATGTTGACAGTGTTTCTTTACATCACAATTGCAAGAAGAATTATTTTGTCAGTGCTGTTTGAACTTGGGTCACTCGTGTAAATCTAAGCATACTTCTCCTTTTGTGTACAGGTACCAGCGGACCTTCTACTGCAGTTGTTCCCAATACCTCAGCTCGGAAAAAGAGTATAACTAACAAAACAGAAATGCCTGATCACAAAAAAAGCGTTGGGAAAAAGAAATGAAAATGAAAGAGAACTTCTTATGCTTATAAAAATCACATGTTGAGTAGAAAAAGACCTTGACTTAAAACTGTCAAAGCAAGCAATGTATGTTTTTTCTTATACATATCTGTATTTATGTAAGAATTTTGTCACATCTAGGGAATTGTTTGGTTATGTTCACGTAAGGATATTTTGTCTCGTTTTGGAAATGTCCTAACCAATGTTTATAGTATTCTGTGAGTAGCAGAACCTGCAGTAAAAAGGTCTGGTGGTGTCATTATGATGTTTACCATGTTCCTATGGTAAATAAAAGGAACATTTTTGCCCAGCTGGCCTGAAACTGTCACACCAGTCCTGCAAGGTACTGCAGAGTATGACAAGCCAGCCTCTTTACACACTTATTTTCATGGGATTGCATCTTAGCTGTAAAGACCTTTAGCTTAAGTTGAAAATTGACAGCCAATATTACATACTGGGGACTTTATACAAAGTATATTCCCAAAGAGACTTCATTGACCACTTAGATTAGAAAATTTGTCTCAGTTGTTACAGTGACATATATGCTGCAATATTTAATGACTGGAGTATTAGCACATAGGTTATTTTTTAAATCTGTGCTTTGAATTTTTTAATGTATGTTATTTAAGATATTGCATATACAGCTGGGAGAACTATACCTTTATGCACATAAATTTGTATATTAATTTGTAGAAAATATTTTCCTTATATATTTCCTTACCATAAGAGGTGCTTTATTCATCAGGAAAATTTTTGCCTCATATTGGCAAAAAAGGCACCTGTTGAGTTTCTTTTTTAGATATATAGATGACAAGTTTATAAATATACTTATTTTCAGAGTTCTTTTTAGATAAGAAACTCTACTCAAAAAATGGTAATCATCAGTGTCAGAAATCTGAATTCTTTTAAGTTAGTAGGTATTATATATAGCATCTTTTTTTTTACCATTTCCATTCTTATCTCTTATATTATCACTTGATCTAAGAAGGCTTAATGATTGACCATTTTAAATTAATCCTCTTTTGAAATGTTAAATTTTGAAAGCAAATTGAGATTGTTATGTTGTGATTTCTTTTTTTTTAATTTTATTTTTTTTTCGTTTTTTTGTGTGTTTTCTTTCTTTTTATATGTTGTGATTTCATCTATGATATGAAAAACATTATCCTTGGTGCTTTCTTCCCTCATTGCACAAATAATTGCAAATCACTTGAAATGACTTAAACTATAAACCAAACAGTGCAACCTGCTAAGAATCCCATGCATTGCAAGTTACGTAAGTTAAATTACTAAAGCTTTAGCTTGGAGCTTACGTTTAGAAATATTATTGAATTCTCATAGTATGAATACAACTACTGTAATTCTCCAGAAGAGGCTCTTCTAACCCTAAATCATCATATATGAACTGGCTTTTAGAAAATAAGAATACTATGTGTTAGTTGTGTTAAAAGGTACCAAATGGAAAAGTCAGGAATATCTACAATTAAATAAGTTCATCTACTTCACTTGAATGTAAATGTATTATACGGAGACATGTCTAGTAAACAGCTGAATGTACCTAAGTTTTCTGTATGTGAAAATGTGGTTAATGTACTCATTGTTGGGGTGAGGAAACTACTTTTATTTTTTAAATGGAACTGAATTAAAATATTTTATTTCCAGAATCAGAGGATGATGTAGATGGCAAATTATTTTTTATGTATGCTCATTATCTCTTTCCTTTTCGCTTTCAAAGAAGAAAAAATGAGGAAAACTTTTAATATTAAATAGTACTTATCTTAGATAGTAAATAAACTTTCTTACTGGCCAACAACAATATACTGCTTTCCAAACTAGAAAGGACAGTACAGCTTACTGTTTTCTTTGTAAAACAAGACCTGTAACTTCCCCGTAGGCAGCAAACTCAGTAGTACTGTTGTGTGCCTGATCTAGTTGCAAGAATCTTAGAATTCCTTTTCAAAACAAACAAAAAGTCTGCTGTATCAGAGTAAGAAGTTCTGATTGTCCCTGTTTTGTGGATGTTTGAAGTCTCTGTTTGTCCCCTGATTCTGACCCCATAAGGTGAGGAGGTTTGGAGTTTTAAATGCCAGTGATGTATTTTCTTGCAGTCCAGTTCTTAAACCGACAGAGATGTAAGAAAGCCAAGCTTGAGGAACCGTCCACTCATCCCGACTTGTTAGTCTCCACCGAGCACTATTCGTTCCCTGTACCTTTAAAAGAACCCTGCATCTGAGCTCCAACCAGACTTTACCCTGAAAGCCTGGGGCTGGCAGATTTGCTTCCCTGGTTTTGATAAATTACACAGTCCATTCTCAACTATTAGTCAATGTGGGGGCTTTCACAGCAATTTTGGATTAAGAACAAAACCGTACCGAACATCCTACCTCATTTTCCCTGAGTAGATATCAGGCAGGAAGGAAACTGTGAAGTCACAGAAACACATACCAGTACACTTAGTCTGTACATAGAGCAAAAAGGCAATTATGAGGGAAAAGTTCTTCAAGAAATATCCAGTTGACACTCGTTAGCCAAGGGGAAAGTCTGTTGTGAACAGGTCAACCAGCCATTCTCCAGATTCTCCTGATTCTTACTGTCTGTCCACCATTACCTAGTTCCATGCCAGTTTGAATTATTTCACTTTTTGTTTTGTGTTGATACTCTGGTGGGGAATTCTCAGTCTTTTGTGTTTACCAGAGTTTGTTTTATATAAGTTCATTAATGTCACATTTTATCCTTGCTTTATTTGGACAGTGTACACTGCCTGCATTATTCTTCAGATAGGGTTGGGATCGCTTCCGTTAGAGCAGCGCCGTGGTTTAGAGCCATTCTAATTCTCTCCCTGTACCAGGAGCTATCACAAACAGAATTCTTGCCCATGGGAACAATTTTTCCACTCCTTCCAGTGGAATCACTTGTGATAGGAGTTGAAGCAGAACCAACACTCCCTTAGTACAGAATCATGCTACCATGTAACGTTTTCTTTATATGGGTCAATTTTTGTGGAAGATTAGTTTCTATTTTCAGAAAACAGATTTTCTATAAACTGCTTCTCCTTATGGTTCGTGTGCTTTTTCATGAATTGAGAGAGGTAAATTGAATCTCTTTCCACTTAAGGATTTCTGTCAGTTTCATCCTTTTTAAAAAGATGTTTTTGTTTGTTAGAGAGGCAGAGTGACAGAAAGCAAGAAAGAATAAGATATTCCATCTGCTTATTCACTCCCACATGAGTACCAGAAGCCCAAGTACTTGGGTTATCATCTGCTGCTTTCCCAGGCCATTAGCAGGGAGCTGGATGGGAAGTGGAACAGCTGGGACTAGAACCAGTGCCCATATAGGATGCTGGCATCACAATACTGGCCCCAACTAGGGTTTTTATTACAGGTTTCATCATTATAAAAAAAATGATTTTTTCCTGATGGGTGACTTTTGCCCCATAATTTAAATAGTCGGATATTAAGACCTATGTGTTATTTTGGTTTGCATTTGCCTAATATCTCCCTCCCCATTTTTAAAAAAATGCTTGTCACTTAGCTTTGTTTTAATATAGTATATAGTGGATTTTGCTTTGTAAATCAGTAGTCTTTTTATACAGAATATATCCTTGCTCTTGGGCTGTGCTTTGTTTTCATTCTTAAGTTTTTTTTTTAATCTTTTTAACAATTTTAGTTACAAGTAAGAAAACTCCAATTGCAGCTGACTTAAACCTTAAGATTTATTATTACACATCTCTGAAGGTCCAAGGTGGAATTGGCTCGAACCATAGTTCTGTCAGCCATCTGATATCAAGAACCAGGATTCTCTCCTTTATCCTCTGGCACAATACAAACTTGATCCCACACGTGTCTCCCCTCACGTTCACAGTCGGCTGTCAGTGGCAATCAGGGCAATACATTTCCTCATTCATGGCCAGCACAACAAAAGTTGAGAGAAATGTCCCCAACCATCAAATATTAAGTGATTTCTTCAGTGCAATTGGGTCAGTTTGTTCGGTCATCTGTCCACACCATGGTGAATAACAGGCCAGGAGAATCCCATGATCTCCCTCTACTGAGCTGGTGGTGATAGGGGTCATGTTCCCTCCAAAGTCTCAGCACTGTTGACGTTCTGAGACAGATAATTCATCCTGGAAGACTGTTCTGTGCATGGCAGGATGTTTGCCAGCATCTGTACTGGGTTGAGTGGCAGTGCTTAAGACAAGGAGTCAAAATGAAAGGGACAGTTGAGTTTTTTATTCCACCTACTCTGATAATATAATCAAGAGACCAGCCACAAAGGAGTGCTGGCTCTACCTGTTCCATTTTCTTGTCCCCTGCACCAGCGCCAGGTGTGGGTCAGTCAGATGGCACGTGATACAGGCAGGGGTAGTTCTGTTGCTGAGGAACAAATTGACATCTTACAGACCCCGAGGACTGGGGATCGGGGGAGGGAGAAGAGCTAGGATAGGCAAAGAGGACTGGACTACAATGCCAGCAGCCAGTTTAAAAAAACATGAAAACAAGATCAGTGCCACCTGATGAGGACCTGAAAATTGTCTCTGCCAAGGTCCTCCTGAAGGGGACCGCGGAATGAAGGCCTAGCTAGGAACACGGCTGGGGGTGCCTCCGTGGGCTCTGAGTCTTCGGCTGCAGTTCTTTCTGGAGACTACAGTGTGCTAACTGTGCTCCAAATCTCATGGTGGGGAGGCAGCATCCCCCCGCCATGACACCTAAAAAACAAAACTTTCATAATTGCCTATGGTCGGGCTTGAAGGATCACACACACACAATTTTGGCCTGGAGCCAGCCTCCTCACCTTGACCTCTACACTAAATGTCATTAATATCTCCCCCAAAATTATAACAGCAAAAAATGCCTTCACTCGGTACCAAGTGTCCCCTAGGGGGCAGAATTGCCCCTGGTTAGGAACCATTGTCCTGAGGTTCGTGACTGCAGAGGAAGAGAGGATATGAAGAGGTTTTCAGAGAAGCGCAATGGAATTTGTGTTATGAGAGGGGACCAGCGTGGTGGTGTGGCAGATTAAGCTCACCTGTGAGACAGGCATTTCTGTATGAGTGCTGATTCGAGGCTGAGCCGTTCTGCTTCCAATCCAGCTCCCTGCTAGTGTACCAGGGAAGAGCAGAGGAAGATGACCCAAGTGCTTGGACCCCTGCCGCCTACGTGAGAGACTCGGATGGAGGGCTCCTGGCTTTGGCCTGGCCCAACCCTGGCCATGTGGCCATTCGGGGAGTGAACCAGCAGATAGAAGATTTCTCTCTCCTCTCTCTCTCTCTCTCTTTCTCTCTGTGTGTGTGTGTGTATCTCCCCCATAACTCTGCCTTTCAAGTTAAAAAAATTAAATGATGGTCAATGAATCCACATGATGATGACTCAATTTGTCAGTGTTAAAAAAAATAGGAAACTACAGATTTTGAAAAATGTCTTGTGCCATGATAAACTTTCTTTGGGTCTTTATTTAATGCGTTGAAAGAGATCTTCTATCCACTAATTTACCCCCAAATACCAGCAATAGCCAGGGCTGGTCCAGATTGAAGCCAGGAGCCAGAAACTCAATCTGTGTCTCCAGTACTCCAGTATGGGTGGCGGGGACCCAAGTACTTGAGCCATCACCAGCTGATGCCCAAAGTGCACATTAGCAGGAAGCTAGAATTTGAAGCAGAGCCAGGACATGATCCTGAGCACCCAGTTATCGACCCCATACAGCACTGTGCCAAATGCCTGCCCACCGTTTTTTTGAACTCCACTTGTATATCCAAAATCAGGGTTCTGAAGGAAGAGAGGGGGCTTAGGTAATGGCTAAGTGATCAGCAACTTACCCTGTGCACTACACTACCCTTATATCATCCATGTCGCTATGGTTTGCTTGTTTCACTAGTGGTTTTCCGCTGAAGTATACTTTTGGGTTACATATTATATTTTGTAGATACTTGCTAGCATGCTTGCTCTGTTTTGCACATAATGCCCTCTGCCCTGGGATGCCAGCACCACGCCCTCCATGCCCTTGGCCTCTCAGCCTCCAGAATAAAGTTCTATTCTTTATTAGTTACCTGGTTATTAGCTATTTTGTTACAGAAATAGAAACTAGACTGAGACACGCAGTGTCTGCATCTCCTCTTGGGCTTTGCTCTTCCTGTTACTTTGTGTCACCAGGTAATATCCAGGTCCTGTGGGCACTCACCTGCTTCCATTCTTTCAGACAGGAAGTGATGATTTTCGCAGACTAGACCATCCATTCTGCAGACTTTTGCTGTAAGTAACCCTGAAGCCTGGAGCTGTAAGCATCCTCTTTAGGCATCTGTATGTTTGATCTTCATTGCATCTGGCAGCTCTAACTTCTGTACTGTGGCTGAGGTCAAAGTGTCATTTAGCTTTATTGAAGAAAGCACATGTTTTTCTTTCATATTTTAGATAATTTTTCATTGATAAATGCCTCATTTTCAAACTTGTTACTACCCCACGATAAGAAGGAATAGGAGGAGGAAAGACAAAAGAGGAAACCCGTGTCCCTCTGGACTGCTCTTCACAGTTACATATGTTTTTTAAAGATTTACTCATTTATTTACTTGAAAGGCAGCGTTATGGGGGGTGGGGGGGAGGTGGAGGGAGGCAGAGAGAGAAAGAGAGAGGTCTTCCCTCTACTGGTTCACTCCCCAGATGGCCACAACAGCCAA